GGGATGACCTCGCTGGCTTCGAAGGCGCGCTGGCGTCGAAGGCTCGCAGGCGTTACGGCGGGCCAGCAGATCATTCGCACCGTGCGCAGTGCGGGGCCAACGACACAGTGGTCTGCGACGGGGCTCGGGCAGTGGCATCCCTGTTTCGCCAGGGAAACTCGCCAGGGAAACTCGCCAGGGAAACTCGCCAGGGAAACGGGCGTCGTGACTGGCCCGCCCGGTGACGAACTGGCAAAGAGTACCGCTTCTGGCCGCTGCTGGTTTCGTCAGTGTATAAGAAAGAGGTTGAAGTCATGGTGACTTCCCTCGTCGGCGCCCGCCACCGCCTGTTTTGCTGCCGCCACTCTTGCTACTCCTTTCGTACTTGCCTCCATTGACACTGAGAATCTGTCTTCCTCTTCTGTTAGACACCCAACAAGACTCTACCAAGACACCCGAGCCGGAAGAGTCACAGACCACACACCCAGACGCCCCAACGATCACTCACACCTGTAAGTCGGCCATGACAAGCACTGCCTGCCTCTGATCTGTCTCGAAATCTGCCTCTTGCCATGCCCATCTGCCTCTCCACCACCATGTGATGGAAGGACTCAAAGGACTCAAAGGACTCAAAGGAACCAAAGGAACCAAAGGACTCGAAGGCAAAACGGCAGCAGACATTGCCCTGGGCGCAAGGCGAACCAGAGACAATGCCTCCGGCCCTCGAGCAAGTCCCCTTATCGCGATGAGTCGTCGTATCTGGCTGGTGGCGCTTCACCCTCGACACCTCCCTACCTCTCCCCCCCCCCCTAGCTCAAGCAGCGGGCTTGCGTTATCTTGAGCTGCCATGTATCAAGGAAAAACACGGCATTATCATATCGCATCCCTCCTATCTCTTTTATCAGCTGCCCCTGACCTTCCCGCCCCCTGACTTTCGCTATCTCCATTCGCTTCTCGCTCCGTTCCAGAACTGGTCTTTGGGCTGCGGCGACCGAAGGACGAGCACAAGCACGGCCGTCACTGCAGACGACGAGTGCCAAAGCTTGACCTCGCCATTGGAAGCTGCGTTTTGCTTCTGACACACCGCTGCCAACCCATATGCTAATGACAGACTCTGCGCGTTACAGAACATTTCCGAGTCGATCTTGCCTATCTCAACCACGATCCCAATTGCTACGTCTTTCGACCCTGCGAGCTTTGCTTTCTGCACTACAACAACACCACACAACCTACACACACACGGCATACCATGTCCACAGCCGCCACAATGTCGCAACCTCCCACGATTCCTCCTCGTCCTTCCAGGAGTTCAGATCGTCCTGCCCAGGCCGAATCCCAACCAATGGTCCCGCCACGCCCTATCAAGCGTTTCGACCGCTCCATCTCTCCGAACCCCCACCGATTCGCGCCCTCGCCCATCAACGAGAGCCCCTTCTCCAAGAGCCCCAGGACGAGCCGCTTTCCCGACAGCAGCCTCGGCGGCCCCATCCAAGACCCTATCCAGCGCCCTGGCAGCGTCAACATGCCCTCCGTTGGCGAGGAGGGCAATGAGTACGAGGCCGTCCGGTCGAGTACCACGGCCAACCAGCGTCCCGTCTCGCCGGAGCAGACGAGGATGATTGCCGAGGACCTCAAGCTTCACGCCCCGAAGCCCTCCTTCTCTGCCCAGTCGGCCAAGCAGCGCGTCGCCACCGTCACTCGCACCGACTCGGACAAGGCTGCTTCCTTTGGCATTGGCAGGCCTAGCAGCGGCGAGCTGCCGCCGAGCTACATCAAGAAGAAGCGGTCCAGTATCGGACAGGCCTCCGAGGCCGGCAGCATTGAAGTCTTTGACGACGAAGAGCACGGCATTCCCGAGATTGGCCAGCAGGTGCCCTTGAACCCCCATCTCGGTGATGTCCAGGCCCCTTCGCCGGCTCCCAATTCCCACGCCCAAGAGTCCGCCAGGTCGCACACCCCTCGCCACCACGGACGCAAGCTGAGTGCGCGCGGCTACCCTGATGCGCCTCCCGGCAGCTACGGCCTCCACGGCCACGGCACGCCCAGCAACGACAAGTTCGAGCGTGCTTGGTACGAGAAGCACCCCGAATCGAAGAAGAGGGAATCGCAAATCTCCCTCCACGATCGCCAGAATGACTTCGCCATGAGCAGCACCGATCTCAACAAGATTGTTCGTGACACCCGCGAGGCGGGCGTAGGTACGTCGAGTCAAGAGGCGCCTAGTTCAGCGCCCCACGTCTAACCAGTACATCAGGCACCTCTACAAACTACACCGGAACGCCCAGCGAAGAGGTTGGATACCAGGCGTCCGAAGAGTACGCGCATCGCATGCACTCCCGCCCGGGTTCTGCCGCCCCCAGGTCCCCGGAGCTGCGTCGCGCTTCGACCCCGCGCAAGGACTCCCCCGCCCCCGCCTCCGCTTCTGTCGCTGTCGATGATGATGGCGACGTCATCCATGTCGATGCCGACCACAACCGCAGCAGGAGCTTCCTCAACAGCCGCGAAAACCTTGCGCAGGAGGAGGAGTACAACACGCCCATCCTTGCTGCCGACGAAGTCGCCAAGAACCCTCACCACTACAACAAGGACGCCGCCGTCCCTGCCGACCGTCGCGGTAGCTTCCTAGATGATGAGAACGCCAGCCGTCCCAACAGCCGCCCCTCCAGTCTGTATCACCACGGCTCGCAGTCTCAAGTCGAGCTGACGTCGACCCCTCTGGAGGACGTCACGGAATACGAGCCTCTGTTTCCCGAAGAGGAGGAGCAGAAGAGGAAGGCTGCTGCCAAGGCGAACCAGCCGCGCCACAAGTTCCCCAGCAAGGACATCTGGGAAGATGCCCCCGACAGCGTCAACGCGACGGCCATGGTCTCGACGCCTGAATTCGAGGAGGAAGAGTTCATTCCGTCGCACCACGACGTCATCCGTACCGAGACACCGGCGCAGGCCTTTGCCAGGCAACAAGAGGAACTGGCCGAAAAGGAGTCGCGTCAGTCGCCCGAGAGCTACGGTCTCCGCCAGACGCACGTGCCCAGGCCTCACCCAGTCCAGCGAATGAAGTCCCATGAGGCGCGGCCCCATGCCAATCGCTTCCCCAGCCGCGATGTCTGGGAAGACACGCCAGAGAGTCTGATGCATGAGACCACCGTCGACAGCCCCGACCCCGAGTCTGCCGAGCCGAACGAGTCGAACAACGCCACGGATGAGCCCTCTGCCACCTCGAGGCCTGCAGTGCCTGCTCGCCCGCAAAAGAAGCTCTCCACTGACAAGCCCACGATTCCCGAGAGGCCCAAGCCAAGCTCGACACCGAGCGACGAGCGCCTCAGGCCGGTCATCTCCGACAAGCCGAAGCCTCAGGTGCCGGCACGCCCCACCAAAACTTTGCCCTCGGGCGTTGATTCCAAGGAGCAGGATGCTGCGCCGAGGCAAAAGCCGGCGGTGCCCGCTCGCCCCGTCGGCAGCAAGATTCAGGCCCTGCAGGCCGGCTTCATGTCGGACCTCAACAAACGGCTGCAGCAAGGCCCACAAGCCCCCGCCAAGAAGGAAGAACCCCCGGCGGCAGACATGGTGGAGGAGAAGGAGAAGGCACCGCTTGCCGACGCTAGGAAAGGCCGCGCCCGCGGTCCTCAGCGCCGGGCCCCTGCGGCGAAGAGCCAGTCGCAGGCCGCGGATCACAGGTCCAGCGGGCCCACGTTGAGCTTCTCGCCCCTGAGGACGTGCTGGAGCATCGGTGATGATGGTATCCTTGAGATCGAGAACAGCAAACCTCAGCCAAAGAAGGAGGAGGAGCCCGAGATCGAGGCCGCACCCGAAGCCGCTGAGGAGGAGTCTGTGCCCGAACCAGAGTCCAAACCCGTCGAGCCTGCCTCGACAGCATTCGAAGCTGCCGAGAAGGGGGTCGACAGTTTTGTGCCGAGCGAGAAGCTAGAGCCCGAGACTGCCGCGACAAGTACGGAGCCACAGGTCTCTCCCGAGGTGACAAAACCTCAGGAGACCATCCTGCGCGATCCTGCGCCTGTTGAAGAGCCGACGGAGCAGGTCAAGACGCTGGCCAGCAACACGGCTGGCGAGCCGATCCTGGAGGCGCAGATTCAGCAGGCCGAGGAGGTGAAGCCTGTCGCGGTCCAGCAGCTGGGTGGCGAGGCCGCGTGAAGTGGTCCTTGGTAGAATTGCGGCAATTGCTTGTCGGAGCACGAGTGCTGTTGCGGTCGCGGTTCGTTGTTTGTTTGCTGCTGCTTTCATCTCTGTTCTCTACTTGTCGTGGTGGTATGCCCATCATCAGTTACATTCCCTGGCTCAAGGCGAGCAAGCAAAAGAGGGGTTGGTTCGAAGCCAGCCCGTCAAGCGTTGTTTCGATAGCAATACATGACATTGTCTTGCTCAAACTATGTTGAAGATTTCGGTGCCATGTTTGAGAGCTTGCGATCGTGACCTCTGGCTGACGGAGACGCTCGTCAGCACGGGTGAGAGCAGCCATGCCGTCCAGCGTGGCCACGGCACCCACCGCAAGCCACAGTCCCGCTGGAAAAGGCGACTGAGGAATGTGTGACGGCAACGGTCTTGAGCGACGCCGCAGACTCGTCTTTCCCGGGCTCGTGCGGCTAGCTTGATGTCGTTGAGTCGGCTTGTCATGTCGAGGGCAAAGTTGTCCTTCTCATGCAACGAGGATCCTTCTCATGCAACGAGGATGCAATCGATTGGATGAACACCAGGGAATCGCGTCGAAGCAAAAGAACGTCTGGTATTGTTTGATCTATGGACCCTGGCATGGGTACCTAGGTTGTTGGGTGACGGGACTCGCAGCTTGCCCCGACAGCGAAGCAGCCTACCGGATTGTACCCCGACGGAGGGAAATGCTTGCACGAGCTGCATACTATGCTACCGTCTTCTTGCCCCCCTTTTCAGGTTTTCTTTTCTTTTCTTTTTCTTTTTGTCGGTTGTACGTGCGACACAAAACAGCGGGCAAAGGGCTAGGTACCTTAGGTACTCTTCGACCTCGGAGGTTCTCGATCCCTCCCACAGACCTAGCAAGGGCATTTGATGAGCCCGTCCTTCGTGTTGTCGCCCATGTTGATGTGGATGCCAATGTGGTAGCGCCAGTCGCCGCGGTTGTGCAGGGGCTGGCAGCTGCTCGTGTGACGCTTGGCGGTGCGGAGGGCAAAGTACTTGAGCGTCTTCTCGACACACCCCTGCGAGGCGGTCGTCCACGTGTTGGGGGCCGGCACGGCGCTGACAATCATGGTCCACGCCCTGTTTTGCCTGGTCACGATGGCGCCGGGCCCGTCCTCGGTGGCGTTGCGGTCGGCTGCGAAGCGGTCACCGCGGTCACCGTGGCCGTCCTCTCCGACCACGTCCGCCTCGTCGTCGTGGCCGTCCTCCCAAGTGTAGCCCAGCAGGCGGCCGGTGGCGCCGTTGGTGAAGAGCTCGCCGGCGTTCACGTCGTACTTCCAGTCCGTGTACACGTGGGCCTCGCCCGCGTCGAGCTCCGCCGCGAAGCCGCGCGGGTGCAGCCGGGACGCGGGATGCTCGATCTTGAAGTGCACAAAGTCGGCGGCCCGCAGCTGGTCTGCGTCGCGCACCATGAGACGGACGCGGCTCTGGGTGTTCGGGACGGCAACGCGGTACGTGTACCTGCCGGCCTTGATGGCCACGGCCATGTGGAGGAAGAAGGCGCCGGCGAAGAGCGGCGACAGGGCGATGAAGGTGCCCCAGCCGCAGGCTTGGCGGATGCCGCCCTCGGGCATGTTGTCGCACGACAGGCGGTCTCAGATGGACTTGTTCTCGCACGTCCCGTTGCCCTCGTCGCGCGCCGCCAGGGCCCGCGTCTGCTCGACCGCCAGGGCCTCGCCCTCGCGGGGACGGGGCGAGATGTCCATCTCGCCCGCCTTGACGGCGCGGTTCCACGCCTCGGCGGCCGCCACGTCGACGACTTCCATGGTCCGGGGCGGCGACACGTCAAGCCAGTCGCTGGCGTTGGTGCCGAGCGTGGTGAAAAAGGCGTCCAGGTCGTCGAGCACGCCGAGGTCCACGTCCGTGTCCGGGTTGAAGTCACGGGGCATGATCCTGGCGGCGGCGAGCGCCGAGTCGACGCCGAGGAGTAGGACGACGGCAAGGCCGCGGAGGCCACGGAGGCCGGTGAGGCCGAGCGGCAGTCCGTCGACGTGGGCTGGAAACATGGCGGAACGAGCAAGGTGCCCAGTGACGAGATCAGAGCGAGGTGGAGGGGGGATGTGCCGTGTTGGAACCGCTGGCGTATCGAAGAAGAGGGGGATGCCGAAAGTCGAGAAGCAGCGATCGAGTCGCAAGTTATACCAGTAACCGCCAAAGGCCAGACCGGAGAAGGCGGACGTGCAACATCCAGCGCTCATCGGTTCGGCTGGATCCCTAGTCCTGAGAGACAACCCTGAGTCCCCGCTCCGCTCTTTGCCAACAGGCGTGAGTCAACATGAGGGCCGGGATCTAAGAGAGCCGCCTCCGACTTCACACCGGCTTCTAGTGGTGGATGTACGAGGAGCCTTCTCGTCGCCCGAGCTCGCCGAGCTTGAGTGTGTATATCTCCTCGTCCACATGCAGCCGTTGGATCATGGCATCATGCCAGAGCGGGGATGCATCATGCGGCTTGTCACTTGCCGTGTCCGGCCTGAAAGCTGTGTGAGTGGCAGTCCTACCGACGACTTGGCAACTCGAGCAAGGGAGCAGAGTCGCAGACTGCTTTGGCCGCGTTCTCGGACCTCCATACTCACCGACGCCAAGGCACGCCATAGGCCTTCAGGCACGTATTTGGGCAGCATGACTTGCCGGCCGGGAGTGTCTTGTCTATAGCCATAAAGAATATATATCCACGCGAACACGGAACTGCCTCTTTTCGGTGGGCTCTGGGGGTTGGCGGGCTTGCGGTTGGCGCTTGTCGTGCGGGCACGAGGGCCAAGACAGTGCCGGATGTCTTGGCTACGGATACCGATACCTCGACCCTGGCTCTCGAGAGACTACGATGCCAGGTATGCAATTCCGTAGCCAACGGCTGGTCCGGGTTTGCTTTCGAAGTTCTTCTCATCTCTGCTGATGTGGGTGTTAGTCGCGACGCGCGGGCGAATTTCGCAGAGAGCGCAAGTGGTCGGACTGGGGATGTAGATCTTGATGCTTGGTGTTATAATATCTCCCTTGCCCGAGCTCGACGAGCCACCTTGTGCTCGACTCATCCAGAATACAGTTCTCCTTGACGTTTCGAGTCCCGTCTCGTTGTCTGGCCTGTAGTTGCCCACCGCCGATCTGCTTCTCAACTGCTGCAATCAACGGGTTCGTACCTAGAGACCTGTCCAAAGCTTTTTGTTCGCGCACTCTATTCTATTCATCTGCTGACTTAACTCGGCCCCAGACCTCGCCCCAGACCAAAAACGGCCGCAATGAAGCCCGCCTTCCTCCTTGCCGTGGTCCAGGCGACCTCGGTCCTCGCCGCCGCAGTCACTCACGCCGAGACCACGGAGAAGCGCGCGCTCCGGCTAGAGCAAAAGTGCGGCATACTGGGCGTCATGGAGGTGCCCGAGGGCGAGGACGCCTCCGAGGTCCGCGACTGCCGCGAGCATCCCACGAGGCTCCTCCAGCCGGGCATGAACCCGGGCGACGCGCCCCTCCCGACGGACTACGAGGAGAGCTCCGACAAGAGCCCCAGCCCGCAGCACCGGGCGAGGAGCCTGCTCGCCAAGCGCGCGTGCTGGTTCGGAAAGGTGGTCGGGTGCAGCAAGACGGGCTTCTGCTACCGGAAATGCTGCGACGTCGACGGCCCCTGGTGCTGGACGGCCAAGGGCAGGGAGGGCCTTGGCGGCTGGTGGACCTGCAATTCCGACCGGGACTGCCTCATGAGGGACGCGTGCGGCATGTCTAAGGCGCCCTTGTGCAAGGACTGCGGGTGCAGCTGCTAGGAGGTCGTCGACTACTGTCCCCGAAGCAGGGCGTTGAGAGGGGGAATGTACAAAACAAGCCCTACGGTTTTGGTCCCTCTGTTCGTCTGCTGCGCTTCACGCTCTGTCGTCGTCGCCATCACGTGATTCTATGTCCAAGTGGTTACGACTACCATGTACGTTGGAACTAGGCCTTTGTCGAAACAGGCCTCTAGTAAGGGGGAGAAGGAGAGGAAGCGGGCGCGGTCGCTTGGCAGTTCCTATAAAGCCAACCGCCCACGCTGGGTCCTGTTTTTGTGACTGACCCCGGCTCCCAAACAAGGGCGCGCACACTTCAGCAAACCTCATCGCCTCTCGGGCCTAAAGAACGCTAACCCTACGCTCGCATCCGATCATCTCGACCTGCCTACTACCCCTGCACTATGGCCGAAACTCCAATCCCGAAGGACGTCGCCGTCGCCGTCTCTCGGTTCACGGGCTCCCTCTCTGTATCCACCGGCATCTGGCTCGCGGTGGGCGGCATCGGCCACTGTCCGTGGACCCCCGACTGGAGTCAGAGTTTGGAGGTGCCGTCTGTCCTGCTCATCATCACCCACTTCTTGGCCTTGGTGTCTGCCGCGGGCTGCGCGGCGGAGGCCTGGCCGGGCCATGTGGCTCCGTTCTTCTCGGCCGCTGTCGTGGGCTTCGGGTTGGCCACGAGCTGGGTGTTCCTCTCGCCGACCCGGCCCCATGTCTTCCAGGGGCTCTTCTGGTCCCTTTCGGGCCTCTACGCCGGTCTGCTCGTAGAGAGGCTCACGGGCGTGGGCACGGTCCTGCAGAGGAGGCTGGCTGAGTCGGCGGTCAGCGCGAAGGCGTCCAGGGGGCGAGGCTAGGGGACCGCAACATGGGGGAGAGCTGCTAGGGCTGGAAGGGCCATGGAAGAAATCATCCGAAAGGCTGTGAAATTGGGCTTCGAGAGTGCCGAGAGCCGGGTGCCGAGAGCTGAGAGGTGGTGGTCCGGGGAGCGGCCCGAGCCAGGGTGGATGCTGCTAGACGAGGTAAATAGGGCAGCGAGGAGCTCAAAGAACGAATGGCCACCTCCCTACTCGACCCTGCCCGACATGGCCACTAGCTGGACCCCCGCCGTGTATAACCTGGTAGGGGCGGGAAGAGCTCGGAATACTTGCATCGTGTCCGATTGCGCGATTGACCGTTGGCGCCAAGCTAAGCAAGAGAACGGCCTTCAGGGAGCTTGGCGAACAGTCAGGTAAGTTTAGTCAAACCTGCAAGTGCTCAGGTGACGGGGGTGACGGGTGGGAGATTGTTACTAGAAATATCGTATCGACGCCCGCTTCGGGGCGGCCAAGCCACGTACTTAATCTGGCCACAACAAGCTCTAGAGAGCGCTTTTCTATTCAGTCTCGCTAAGATCAAGTCTAAGCACTAGGTATCTCTAGTAAGTTGGTCCTTCAGAGATGGTAGCACAAGTGTGGACACATAGAGATCTAATATTCGTCAACCGTCCCACATATCGCCCTGGTCCTGGATCCCGAGGCGATCTCCTAACCCTGTTCAATACCTTGACACAGACCAAAGAAGAAACTGGGGATATGAAAAATGGTGCTGATGGAGAAGACAATTGTGATGTCTCACCAACGATCTTGACTCGTGAGAAGCCACACTAGAACAAGCGAATCCTCAAGCTCGAAAAAGTGTCCAACAGGTCAGGCTGTCTCGTTGGACTTGATATCGGGCCAAACTAGGAGAAATATTGATCAAAAATACACATGGTCCAGGCAAAAGCCCGCAACTTCTGAGAGGTCCGTTCTCCAAAGAAGCACTCCGTTTCAGGGAACAATCCAACACAGAGCCTCTGCTGCCTACATCTCTTCAGAGATCACACGTTCAGGTCGACAGAGCGCTCGAAAAGACGGGCCAAAGTTTCTACTCATGAACTTTTGTTTGAAGAGAGGGTGCAGACGAGGAAAAGTATGGAGTCTCCAGCAGAGCTCTCAGCCCTGCGTGCTTAACTAACATCTGTGTCGCAAGCTTCCGACTCAACTCACGAGGCTTTCCTGAGAATCAGCTGTGACGTGAGATGGGACGGATCTTCATGAGAGGAGTCTCAGGCAACATCATGTACCAGGGGGCCGATATGTCTCGTATGGCACCTCTACTTCGCTTCTTGGAAAATTGAATGACTGATGTCCCTTTATAACTAACAGGCTGCTCAAGTTGTTTTCATCGTCAGTTGGCCCCTATGGAGCCACGGAACAGGGGCTTGGTTAGGGGCTGAGAACTACGCGAACCTGTATATAGGGGCCGCGGAGGGCCAGAATTCATATGTATTCCGACCCCCAACTATATTCTATTGCCTGCGGACCTTGTGGAAGGCCTCTTCACTCTTCTCCATACCACGCACTGACAGAATATGTCATTATTCTTTGAAGATAAAGGCGGCAGCACTGGCAGGATGGAAGTTTGAATGTTGATTTCTTTTTTTCCTTTTTACGCATCAACGTTACCTAGGTAACTTGAAGTCAAACGAATAATATAGCTATCTGAGTGCAAAGAACAGCATCTATCTCGCTCTTATCATTGATGTGAGCAGTTCCAATTCATGGAGCTATTTGGAGACGTTACCTGCAGCACGGGAAGAACAAGTCTAAGACTCTGAAAAATCCGATCCGAATTTCTCAAGTAGACTCGGTCCATTTATCACCACTAAAGACTCTGTAAGCCCATACCTTGGTTTTCGAGAATGAGAAGGTTATATTTTTGTTGCTGGATCGGTCGTGATTGATCTCTTCACGGGTTCGGTACCCGCGGGTCATGTGAAACTAAGTATATGCGTTAACATGTGTACGAGTTGACAAAGGTCCTGAGCTTCGGCGGACCGATGGCCCATTTGATTCAAGGCACCCTCTTGTATCTCTTTTTTTTTTGTTTCCCAGTTGCCGACCAGTTCATAAGTGACCCTCCAACGCAGGTCGTAGCGACGAACTAGCTCCAGCTTCTGGATACCCGACGCATCGCGCTCAAACCCGTCTCCTTCTCGATCTTAACCAAGATCCCGAAACAGCCTCATGACGTCGGAGGGTACTGGCCAAGGCTGACCGCGCGCCACTCTGACGTACTGCTGGCATGGCGGTGCCAGGACCTCATCGAGTAGGTGTATCTCCCATTTCAGCACCTAAACCCAGTGTCTTTGGTCTGTCGAGATGCTGTTTACTGATCTACTCTGCTACGCAACAGCATATGGACCCGATCAGCCTCCGAAACAGTGAGGTTGCCAGACTCAAGATGGAGGATTCGTATGAGCAGACTGCCGCAGCACTCCGGTTGGCAGAGCATCAGGGTTGTGACTCTCACGTGCTCAAGACGCTGACTATCCTGGCTCTCATCTATGTGCCGGCATCCTTCGCTGCCGTACGTTTCCCCCACCCCATCTGACACATCTTGATCTCAGCGGGAAAAGCCTTAAATCTATGGCTGTGATCTCGTCGTCTTGGTACCTGCTACTGACCCAAGACATGGATCTTGGACAGCACGTGCTACAGATGGGCTACATCGAGACCCGCACCGAGGACCTGGCGCTCTTCGCGGCTCTGGCCTTGCCTCTGGTGTCCGTCACGATGAGTATATACTGGTACGCACAGAACACGCAGAATCAGACATGTCGTCAGCAAAGCGACCAATCTCCAGCGGCGCAGCACCCATAATTTGACCGTACACGATGACGTCTGGCTTTTTTCTGGCCGACGCTGCCGCATTATGAGTAGAGCACCGGGCCTTTGTTAGCGCTGCTGCTAAGTCGACCTGGCTGAAGTTTTCATCCGGTTTAGCCAGCGGGTCACTTTGTACGATGAAAGATGGACAAGGCCAGGCAAGGCCATACGTCGGTGTTGATCCAAGACTTGACGTTAAGATTGAATCTTTCTCGCCGATTCAGCGTTTGAATCATCCCGAAATCCAGCGCAGTAGATGGCGACGGAGCGGAGCGGAGCAGTGCAGCAATAACAAGGGCTTCGAGGGTCGTCAGGCGGGAGAGTGCTCTACAGTCAAGATGCTTGTCGGCATTCCATCAACCTGGCTGAACGTAAAAATAAGGTCGCAGACCCTTTGAGCTTATGTGCGCCGCGTTGGTCGGTCTTGGCAGCTGAACAGTCCACAACGCCATGTTAATCTGGTGGCGTGGCCAGTCAACTGTGTCCCCTGAAAGCTTGGTATCCCTTCGGACTAGCCCCAGGAACGATCCAATGGCATGCTGTGAGGTATTCCTTAAACAGCTGGCATGACTTGAGGTTGTTGGCCCCAGACCAAGATTCAAGCCCGATTCAGGACGACAAGCCGGACCAGACCAATGCTGCGTGGCCCGGCCTTCGATAGCGCTGCCGCCAGTCCTCGTCTGGTGGAAAGGAGATCTAACGGTGTTGAGATGCGGTGAAGCACTCTTATATCCTGAGCACCTGTCATCGCTTGTTCACCTATATTCGCGCTGAGCTGGGTTGCTCTTCTTGTCATCCCCTACAGACCGCCTGGTTCGTTATTTTCTTGATTCCCATCCAGAAGGCTCGATATAACGAGACCTCCCCGAATCTCCGGCATTCAAATCATCATGGTTAACCTCCTGAAGGTGGTCCTCGCCGCCAACTTGTGCTTCGTGCAGCTCGCCGTTGCCCATCCCAAGGAGTCAAAGTCGGACACCACGCCAGCCTTTCAGTTTCCTGGCTACCCCAGCGATCAAAGCTATGAGTTAGTGTACGTCGATCCTGAGACCCATAGTCTGGTCCATAAAAAGGTCGACGGCGTCAGCAAACGTGGCAGGTGTAAGATCTCTCCTCCAGCAAACCACAACGAGTGAGTGAGGACCAGGAAATTTACTGATAGCCGTTCAGACGAAGACCCTGTCGTCTCCATCATTCGTAAGAACAAGCCGGAGAAGTTTTGTCGGTCCTACTGCCCTAGTCAGTGTGCCTCGTCAAAGCCGCAAGTAAAGACAATCAAGTCCACAACAACCGTGTGCACGACGACCACGGCCACCGTGTGCCCTTATGGATGCAAGACAACCGTTCTCTCGACTGTCACCGCCCCTCGACCCGTTGCCACCGTGACTAGGGCTTCGACCACGGTCCTGACCAGGCTATCAACCGTCAGGGCCCCGACGTCCACCATCCTCACCACGGTCACCGATACTTCGACCGTCACAGAGGTCACAACAACGACGACAACCTCCGTCATCCCCATCGGCTTCAAGGGTGACACACCCGCCCCGCGCGGCCTCGACGAGCGCGACGCCAGGGTTCCCTCCTATCTCAGGAGGTACTCGCGCCAGCAGATCTGCAACGCCTGTGCCGCCGTGTACCCCCCTCGGCGCGGCCCGACCCAGACGGTCAAGAAGGTCGTCACAGCCACCAAGACAGCCACCCAAGACGACGACGAAGCGTCCTTCGGCCACCATCACCAAGGTCTCAACCTTTACGCCGTCACCCACGACCCGCACCAGGACGACGCCCACGACCGTGACGACGACGCGCTTCACAACGACAACGCCCTCAACGACAAGGATCATCACCGAACTCACAACGACGACGACGACCGAGGAGGCCACGGCAACAGCCACCATCTGCGAACGACAACAGCCAATCGTTGGCATCTCTATCACTCCTCCCGGCCGCTTCGTGGAACTCGGAAACTTCAAAGACAGCGCCGGGTGCTGCGTCGCCTGCTTCCGGTACCAAGGCTGCCAGAGCTGGGCATTCCTCAAGGCCCGTGACACCAACTGGTGCACCATTGTTGTCGAGTTCAACTTCGGCGACGGGACGGCTACTGCTGAGTGTCCCGCTGGCAGGGGAGGCGGCCAGTTTCTGTTCGCGCCGTCCGGGTCGGAAGGCTCTGGGGGGCCTGGGCAGTGTTCGGCTTAACCGAGGAGACATGTTGGCTGGTGGTTGGCCTTTGGGGTATATACTTGGAGTGATGAGAATCTTCACGTTCCAGCCCTGTAATGTTTAAATCTAACACTTCCTAATGAAAATGCGTGGACATGCCAACGTGGCACGATCGGCGTGCACATGTCGTGACATTCAGCCTGAATCCCTTTGTCACAGTTCCAGCCCTACCACCCCCGGACCTACGAAGTCTGTCACATTCTGCACTGCACAATTTGTGGTTCATGGCTGGACTATGTGATTCTTCCCCTTCCCCGTGCATTATGCCAATTCCCCAGAATCACGCGTCCAGACCCTGCCACCTTATCCTAAAGGGGAACCAACGCCGAGCCATCCGACTCGGCACGCTAAGCTCAAGCAATTAAGCTCCCCCCTCCCCCTGGACAGGGGTCGCTTCACGTCTGACAGCTGATGGTGGGTGCTGGCGGCGCTGGATGCTGCCCGCCTCGGCATTCGCTCTCTCTGTTTTTATGTTGAGCTGTTCAGCCGCTCTCTCACCTGTTGGCGGTAGCAAGGAAAGCAGCCTCAGCGCCCATCACGACTTTTGAACGCCCCCATGCCATGACATGCCATGGCGCTGCTCATTGCGCCCACGAACCTCGGCCGGCCCGTCCGCCTGCTGGCATTTGTACTGATCGTCGCTGTCCTGGGTCTACTGACATGGGGTCGCTATGACCCGCGTATCGGCTTTGGGGGGTTCACTCGTGTGCGTGCTGATATCCTTGGATTCATTGATCCACTGATCGGGACCCTCAACGGAGGTGGGTTCTCTCAGATCGTCATCTTCCAGGCGAACAAGATGACTCAACCGGATGACCGTGTGTAGGCCATGTGTTCCCCGGCGCGACGTTGCCGTACGGTATGGCCAAGGCCGGCCCCGACACGGACAATCGAGGGGAGAACGCCGCGGGCTGGGTGTCTGACGACTCACCCATCACGGGTTTCTCTCATCTTCACGATTCAGGTATGCCCTCGCCCTGAAGACCCAAGTCGTCTGACAATCTCTGACACGTACAGGAACCGGAGGTGTATGTAAACGCCTCTATCGCACGCGTTTCCGCCAGCTAAATGTCGTAGGCCCCCTCGCTGGGAAACTTCCCCCTGTTCGCACACCCTTGGTGCCCAAACGACGACCCCAAGAGATGCACGTTCACGACGCTGGAACGGAAGACGCTGCGCGCGCCGAGTTCGGTCGAGGCACGTGTCGGCTTCTTCGCCTTGAACCTGACGACCGGCGTGCGCGCCGAGATGACGGCGTCAGCGCACGCGACGCTCTTCCGCTTCACCTTTCCCGAGGGCGCCAAGCCCCTGATTCTCCTCGACGTCGAGGACATTGCGAGCAGCCGCAGTGACGGCGGCATCAAGGTCGATCGCTCGTCGGGCCGCATGACGGGCCACGGCACCTTCGCCCCCTCCTTCGGCACGGGCACCTACAAGGCCTTTTTCTGCGCCGATTTCGCCGGCTCCCACGTGCGCGCTGCCGGTGTCTTCGCCGGGTCCGAAGCCACGCCGGGCCTGCACGAGTGGGACGCGCTGCCGTGGGGATCGGCCGGCGCCTGGCTGCACTTTGACGAGACGGGGCCGGACGGCATCTTCGCGCGCGTCGGCGTGTCCTTCATCTCGTCGGCGCAGGCGTGCCACAACGCCGAGGAGGAGATCCCCGAGGTCGATCTCGACACGGTCGAAGCCGAGGCGCGTGCGGTGTGGGCCGACAAGCTGTCCTCCGTCTCGGTCGACGCCGTGGGCGTCAGCACCGAGCTGCAGACCGTCTTCTGGTCGGGCCTCTACCGGTCGATGCTGTCGCCGCAAAACTACACGGGCGAGAACCCGCTGTGGCAGTCGTCCGAGCCCTACTTTGACTCGTTCTACTGCATCTGGGACTCGTTCCGCGCGCAGCACCCGCTGCTGACCATTCTCGATCCCGTCGCCCAGGCCGAGATGGTGAGGGCGCTGCTTGACATCTACCGCCACGAGGGCAAGCTGCCGGACTGCCGCATGTCCTTTTGCAAGGGGTTCACGCAGGGCGGCAGCAATGCTGATGTCGTTGTCGTGGATGCCTTGTTGAAGGGCATCACGGATGGGATCGACTGGGAGACGGCGTATGAAGCTATCGTCTCTGATGCTGAGAGTAAGTCTTTCTTTTTTTCTTTATCTGTCTCTCTTTGCACCCTTGTTTTTTTTCCTTTTTGGTGATCTTCTTCCCCACGTATCCTGAAACTGACGGCCGCAGTCTCGCCACCCTCGTTCAACGTTGGAGGCAGAGGCAACATCGAGTCGTGGCAGCAGCTGCACTATATCGCCTCGGACCACCGTGACGCCAACTCAACCGGCCCTCACTCGCGTACCGTCTCGCGAACAGTCGAGTATGCGTTCAACGACTTTTGCATCGCCACCATGGCCCGCTGGCGGGGCCACACGGGCGACTTTGCCAAGTACGCGCAGCGCAGCACCTACTGGCAGAACCTCTGGAACCCGGCACAGATAGACCTGCCGCCGGCGCCGCCGCCCGCCCTGAGCGGCACGTCCCCGAGCCAGGACCCCACGGCCGCGTCCAAATTCGTCGGGTTCCTCCAGCCGCGCCTCGCCAACGGGACGTTTATCTACCAGAGCCCGCGCGTGTGCTCGCCCACGTCGGAGCCTCACCTCTGCTACTACGACACGAAGGAGTCGACGTACGAGGGGTCGCCGTGGCTCTACACGTTCTACGCGCCGCACGACATGGCGACGCTGGCGGGCCTCATGGGCGGGCGCGCGGCGCTCGCGGCGCGGCTCGAGTACTACCACGCCAGCGGGCTCGCGTACCTCGGCAACGAGCAGGCGTTTCTGACAGTGTTCCAGTTCCACCACGCGGCGCGGCCGGGGCTCAGCGCCAAGTGGGCGCGGGCGTACGTGCCGGCGCAGTTCAACGGCACGATGGCGGGGATCCCGGGCAACGACGACGGTGCCATGGGCGCGTTCGCGGCGTTTGTCATGATGGGCTTCTTCCCCGTCGCCGGCATGGACGTGTACCTGCTCACGGCGCCCTTCTTCCGTGAGGTCAGGCTGCGGGCGAGGAAGCCGGGCCGAGAGGCTGTCATTCGAAAGGTGGCGGCGCGGGGCGAGGATCCCATGGCCGAGGGCATGCTATATGTGCAGAGCGTCAAGCTCAATGGGCGCAAGTGGACGAAGAGCTGGATCACGCACGACTTCTTCGCTGAGGGCGGCTTGCTCGAGGTCAAGGTCGGCAGGGATGAGAGTGCATGGGGAACCAACGAGGAAGACCTACCGCCGAGCTGGGGTTTTGAGGAGTTCAAGGGGGGAGAGGGTCAGGCCCAGGATGCTGAGCCATCGCATTCGGTGGGAGAGCCCATGGGTTGATGGGTACGCGGGGGCAGGCGTTATACTTTTCATAGATTGTGAAATGGCAGGACGATCGTTGCATATGGACCCTGAAAGACTATTGCTGGGGTTCTTGGGTTGGCAACTGATGAAGCAGATGAGTGATCTGTAGGGGCAGCTAGCTTTTCATTGTGCACATCTGTCAGGTCAAGGCTGAGCAGAACAGTCTTGAAATAACAACCAGGGTGTCTGAGCCTTACCCTCTGCACACAAGAAAGGCCACTGCCTGGCTCTGACGCTCAGGAGAATCACTAGTGCTTAGAAGAAGCTCATGATAACCCTAGCCAGGGTTGGGTTCGGGTTAGGGTTACCATCCCTGGGCAGCCCGTATTGCAGCACAGTAATCGAGGCCCTCCCATTGGCCAATGCCTCGAGGAGACGGTGCTCCGTAGTGGAGCCTCCCTCGGTATCTTCTGGTTCCAGTGGCAGGTGACGGAGACAGAAGTACCTCGAGGGACTGGCTGGTCCGCTGTGGCACCCCCCTGAGCCCCCCTGTAGCATGCTCTCGACAAGTCCCCTCATGTATCGGCTGTACGCTTTCTCTCGGTTATTGCAACCGAGGGCTTGTCCGCCAATCTTTGGCACTCGTCAGTGTTGTAGCACTGCGAACGCCGCGACAACGCCCGTGCTTAAGCCGGGGATCCCACCCCAGAACCCACATTACGTATTGGAAGCTGTGGCCCAAGTCGCCCGCCAACATTTTCATATGCCGCCGCAAGCCAGAGAGTCACATCTTCGACCTCACCACCACTTCGACACCCATCCCCTCGCTCCTCCTCTCGTAAACCACGGTCCCGCGTTGGTCTGGGATTCTTGGTAGAGGATAGCGTTGATCCTCTTCTCTTTTTTCTTTGAATCGTTTTATCCTTCTCGCAATTCTGAGCGTCTGGCTACCTCCCCCTCCCAAACACTCCTCACTGCCTCGCTCGCCACCATGTCTTCAACCCGCAACCTCCAACGCACCACACGCTCCATTGCGCGATGGAGGCCCCTCCCCACAATCAGCACTAGGCCATGTCTCTCCTCAACGACAAGAACGACAGCTGCCGCCGCAGTCACCCCTCGAACCCTCGCCGCCGCCGCCGCCCTCCCCTCCATACGCGCTTTCACCACCTCAAGACCCCGCCTCTCCGATGACGACGAGTCCTTCGACCCCGCCTCCATCGAACGAGAGTCTGACCAGGTCGACGTCTGCATCATTGGCGGCGGTCCTGCCGGCCTCAGTGCCGCCATTCGCCTGAAGCAGCTCGCCAATGCGGCAGGCAACGAGGACTTCCGCGTCCTCCTCCTCGAGAAGGCCGGCGAGATTGGTGCGCACATCCTCTCGGGCGCCGTCATCCAGCCGACGTCCATCGACGAGCTGCTGCCCGACTGGCTCTCCGAAGACAACCCCGACCGCTTTGAGCACGCGACCCCCGCTGGCAAGGACCGCATGCGCTACCTCACCAAGACGCTCAGCATTCCCCTACCCACGCCCCCCCAGATGAACAACCACGGCAACTACATTGTGTCGTTGAACCAGTTCACGAAATGGCTCGGCGAGCGGGCCGAGGAGCTCGGTGTCGAGGTCTACCCCGGCTTTGCCGCCAGCGAGGTCCTCTACCACCCTGACGGCAGCGTCAAGGGTGTCGCGACCAACGATCTCGGCATCGCCCGCGACGGCAAGCCCAAGGACTCGTTCGAGCGCGGCATGGAGTTCCACGCCCGCGTCACCCTCTTCGGCGAGGGCTGCCACGGCTCCCTGTCCAAGGCCGTCATTAAAAAGTTTGACCTGCGCCGCGACAGCCAGCACCAGACCTACGCCCTCGGCCTCAAGGAGGTCTGGGAGGTCGCCCCTGACAAGTTCAAGAAGGGCGAGATCACACACAGCCTCGGCTATCCCCTCGACAAAGACACGTACGGCGGCGGCTGGATGTATCACTTCGGCGACAATCTCGTCAGCGTCGGCCTCGTCGTCGCCCTCGACTACCAGAACCCCTGGCTGTCCCCGTACAACGAGTTTCAAAAGTACAAGCAGCATCCCCTATACCGTTCCGTCCTCGAGGGCGGCAAGTGCATCTCCTACGGCGCGCGCGTCCTCAACGAGGGTGGCTTCCAGAGCATTCCCAAGTGTGCCTTCCCCGGCGGCGCCCTCATCGGCGACTCGGCCGGCTTCGTCAACCTGCCCAAGATCAAGGGCACCCACAACGCCATGAAGTCGGGCATGCTCGCTGCCGAGGCCGCCTGGACCGCCCTCGCCGACGCGCCCCCTGCCGAGGAGGACGCGAGCGCCGTCTTCCTGTACGACTACGAAGACAAGCTGCGCGCCTCTCCCATCTGGGCCGAGCTCAAGGAGGTCCGCAACTTCCGCCCCTCGTTTCACACCCCCCTCGGCCTCTACGGCGGCCTCGCCTACTGCGGCCTCGAGGCCTACCTCTTCAAGGGCCGCGTGCCCTGGACCCTGAAGCACGGCAGCCCCGACCACGCGTCCACCAAGGCGGCCGACGCCAGCAAGAAGATCGAGTACGCCAAGCCCGACGGCGAGATCTCCTTTGACATTCTCACGAGCGTCAGCCGCACCGGCACCAACCACGAGGAGGACCAGCCCGTCCACCTGCAGGTCAAGGACTGGGAGAAGCACGCCGCCGAGACGTGGCCCAAGTTCAAGGGTGTCGAGAACAGGTTCTGCCCGGCGGGCGTCTACGAGTATGTCGAGGACGACACCAAGGAGCTCGGCGTGCGGTTCCAGATCAACTCGCAAAAGTGAGTTCTTCTCGTCATTCGTGACATTTTTGAAAAAAAATTAAAAATTGCATATGCTAACATGGAGACAGCTGCATTCACTGCAAGACGTGCGACATCAAGGCGCCGCACCAGGACATCAACTGGCAGGTGCCGCAGGGTGGCGAGGGCCCCAAGTACTACATGACGTAGAACTGACATTCTTCACTCTGTTTTCGATCAATGGGCATCGCGCCGAGTATATACACAAAGGGGCGGGGGGGTTCTTAGACGGGTGGTGGGCGTTTCTTGATTAGGTACCTGGTGGGACTCATCCCGACTCAGCCGGCGAAGGAGTGTAGCAGGAGGCCTCGGTAGCATAGTCTCCCAGTCTGAGCGCCCAAAAGTGAGGCCCGGCTGCGGCTGTGCCTTTTCCTCTGAATCTAGCCTTGAGAATTGTATTTTTGTTTTCCAAGCTGGGACGTGCCCTGTCAACGTGCAGGCTAGATGTTACAGCTGTCACTGTTTGGCCAAGCTGCGATGACTGTCCCTCTAGTCACTCCGGGTCCATCGTGTTTCGTTTCTAAGAGCAATGAGGACGAGATGTTCGGCAAGAAAGAACAGGCTGCCGGCCGCGGGGTTGTTCGCTGTCACCAAAACGAATGCAACATGCAGACATGAGAAGGTCGGGTTTTCGTTGAGGAAAGCGTAGACCGTTTCGAATATTCTTCGTTCCACGAGCTGTGAATACCGTACAAATTACGAATACAAGGAGAGTAGTGCGCTTTGCCATGCATAAGCGATTGCTGATCGTTGAACAGAGCTGGCCTTGCTTCAATCGCCATTTTCTCTTCTCCATGACTTGTTAAGGGAGAGGCTGCGCAAAGAGAAGTCTTGGAAAGATGCGCGCCTCTGCTGCAGACACAAACTTTGTGTATCCAAACCTTCTGTGGAGGGGTCTTGAGAGACCCGATCCAAAGTCTGTGATCAGGGGCTGCCCTGTTATGCACGGCTTACTGTTCTGGGCTTCAAGTGTACAGCTCTACCACGGTGTGCAAACTTAGTTGGCGGCCAGGACTATTAAACTTCTCCAGATCGGTACGCCTTGGATCGCCAAAGTATCCAAATACTGGGCGTTTGATACAAACAGACTCGAGCAGCTAAGAAGGCGTCGGGGTGGCACGTTCCTTCTTTTGGTTGTACCGGTTCTGCGTACTCATACACAATGGGACTTCCAGGATTGTGTTTTCTTAATTAGCTTCGTGATTATGACTTATCATAAAAAACAACTTCAATAGGTCACGCTTGAAGTAGACAGTCATTTCAAATTCTCAACACCGTCAAGTAGCTATCGAAAGGTTCGCCCTTTTGCGCAACTGAATCCGTCCATTTACAGCAGTCGATGCGCGCAAGCAAGGTCGGACGAGCAGCCACAGCAGGCACAAGTATCGCAAACAAGCCTTGTCAGCTCACTCCAAGTGCTGCCTCGTTTTCTACAACCTCGACTTGATGTTTCTGCTTCCTTGTACGGTTGCGAGTCTTTTCTTCAGTTCATTGTTCTAGGGTTATTGGTGAACTTGACTGCGAGTTCTACAGCCTTGTCAACGCCATGGTCAATCCCAGATTGGTGTGCTAAAATGGCCCCGAGTGATGCGCATACAAACTGCTAGACAATTTATCGGACTCGGTTACATATCTGCCATAAGAAGCATCAGTGTTCGCCGTCTATTTCGCATGCTGGACAGCCTGGCAATGTCTAATACGCGACATTTGCTTTTGACTCCCCCGCCTCCAGGATGGAGAGTACTGCACGCACATTTAGTCGTGAGGCGTTCTGTCTCGAGACCAAGCGGCGGCGGCTAAATATCGGGTGACGCAGCTACGCCGCCTACCAATGGAGTTGAGTGGTGGGTTGATTCCAGGAAGCAAAATCATCAGCTATAACGTAGCGCAGTGAAGGCAATTCTATACATTGGCTACGCCAAATGTCGGTCCGCCAATAGCGACACTGAACATGATGTGGTGAAGAAAGCACATTCTCCGAACGATCTGCTTGACTGGACTCGATCGGTTGTGGATGAAGATTTCTTTTTCTTTTTCGCTCTTCGCATCGACTAAAAGCTAGGTGCAGGATGACGATTTCACATTCGAAGACGTTCAAAGGACATATCAATGAGCACGACTAAGCAAGGGCGACCAGGGTGCTGCGAACTCAGTGGCTCGAGGCGCATGTCAATCGGTCAACCTGCGCCGTCGTGGCCCGAAGCATCTCAGCTGCCGACCATGATAATCGGTGCCGTCAGCGGCTCTTCAAGCCGCATGGACCTTCTCCATCTTTTATCAAGCTCGCAGTAGGTAAACAGGGAACGGCGAGGTTTCGCAGAGACCTTCCGAGAGAATACATGTACTCCCACGTCATGATCTTACACTGGCAGGCCGCTAGTCAGGAGGTGCATGCGGGGAAGCCGATCTGTAGACGTGGGGGCTCCGGATGGAAGACGAAAAGACTGGGACTCCATGGTTGTTCTGACGAGTGACGAGTGACGAGTGAAAGAGCTCTCCAGGATGGAGAGCGCACAAGAGAAAACAAACATGCAGCAAGGGTTGATAATTGTCGATACAACAAAACACACGGTGCTGTAAATAGCAAGCGGAACTGGCCTCCCTCGCTCAAGGAATGACGCCACGCGCCGCAACTTCAGACGATCCTCCTACAATTACGCAACACCCGTGTTGATGCGAAAAAGGATACAGGCAACCCAAGACTGTGGGTTCGTTCAGTGGGTACGGGTCCCATCCGTTGGAAAAGTGGGAAAGCGGGCAATCGCATTTACGCATGAAAAGGACACGTCTCGTCAACACACATCATGTGCCGCAGTGGCATCCCTGGGTATGATGGTGTCAAAAAGGCGACCCTGAAGTGTCTCGGAGGAGTTATGAACAAAGCTCCCAGACATATTTCCAGGGTCGTGGGTCCCCCCTTGAACCACATGCCGCGGACGAGGCTGGAATGCCCTTCTCGGGGGGTTGCGGCATGTAAGGGCGACCGAGAGAGAGAGGCCTCCAAGGTCTATTGTCAACATCCCATCCGGCGACTCTGATGATTGTTTGGCAGGGCAAGGCAAGGCAAGGCCGGAATAGTCGTCAGTAGAGACAGTTCTTCTCATGGCGTGGGCTTCATCGCAACCCGTGCAAGCCATCGACGAAGGAGAGCAGGTTGATCGGGTTGCGCATTGGGACTGGTTGCGATGGAGCATCCGCGCAAGGCTAGCATGATTAGCAGCAAACAAAAAGAGTTATAGCCGCAAGGGTCGTTCAAGCGGTCATCAAGTGTCGTATCAGGGATGGCCTCAGGCTTTTCGCATGCGTCGTGCAGGGGGTAGAGCTCGGGTCAGAACCGCAGCCGAGAGAGGGAAGGGGGCCGGAGAGGGTGAAAGGGCAAAAAGTCCGAAAGTACCGCGACTTGCGGCGGACATGCCGGTACAAGACAAGCTCGGGCCACCTGGCGTCAGCCCCTTGTCGCGCAACCCTGGACAGGGACTGACCGAGCCTGACTTGCGTAAGATTGCCCCCGACTCTTTTCATCTGCCAAACGGCCTGGACGCGGTCGGGCTGTGATGGAAACATGGGTTGTTGTGTTGCGTGCTGCGTGCTTGTGTGACCAACGTTCGACCAGCGAGGAGTAAGAGGGGGGGAGCCATCTCTCGTGGTGTTTGCAAAAGCTCCTGATCATGGTGGCGGGCTGGAGTGGTGTGGCGAGCAAGTCAAGACTCGCGCACAGGGTTTTTGCGGTTCATGGTTCAGTGGAATGACTCACACTGGACCAGGAGCCTCGGTCGTTGGCTCGTTGGCTTGTGCCGCCGCCGCCCACCTGCCCAGCGTAAACCCGCGAGTGGCCGAAACCAGGTGAGATGCTTTGTCTGGTGATCAACCAAAATGTCGGTTGACGAGACATGGATGGATGCCAGTACGGTCGGGTTTTCTTGGTGATGCACCTGGAAAGATTGCCCCATGCTGTCACGATACTCGCCTGGCCAGCTGAACTGAGGAGACGACGCGACGTGCCATCGTCGACAGATGCGGCGTAGTCCAGGAGACCGGAGGAGTCTTCCAGGGGGAGGAAGCGGGCTGTCGTCTGCAGGTGAGAGTTGTGTGTGAAAGAGATGAGAAGCAGAGGAGTGGGATCGCTCAGAAGAGTCGGAGATCAACAGAAAGTAGAGGCATCAACAAGGCAGAAAGGGGGCCCCGACCCATCGTTTCAGAAGTGGAGGGCAGAGTGGATGCCGGGGGGTGGTTGGGCCCCCTTCCTGGCGCAGGGGGGATAGCGGCTGGGGGGGGACTGTTGGAGCGGCCATCACGCCGATGGTCGGTCGTCGACTCGTTCGCGCGGCGGGACTGCGAGCTGGAGTCGGTCGGCGTTCGTTACTGGTGCTGACACGACAGACGCCCCCAGCGCGTCGTGGTCCAGTCCAGTCTCTGGGGCACGGCACATGCGAGGCAGCTGCAACGCGATGCGATGCAGTGGACCAGTGGGAAACGATGGAAGAGAGGGAGGTATCGTTTGGAAAGCTGGTCAGAGAGGAGGATGATGATTATAACGATTACGAGGAGGGGTGATGCAGACGAGATAAAGAAGAGGATGCGAACGAGGATGAAGCATAGGAGAAAAAGAGAGAAGGAGAGGAAGAAGCAGGTGAAGAATCGATACTCGTAACCCTCTCCTCCTCGCTCGCTCTCTCGCTTCTCGTTGGGTGGTCCGCCCAGGAAGCAGCAAGGGCCGGAACAAGGAAAGGGGGAGAAGAAGAAAGGGTGGAGGAAGAGATTTTCAGAGTGACCGCCGGACGGGGAGATGATGCCATGGATGGATGCGCGCCACGGCCGACGCGCTGCTGGGATTGGCTCGTCGCCCATAAGCTAAGCAGAGGCTTATCGATCTTGTACCGGTACCTCTGGCGGGATACGGGCTACCACGGTGCGGATCCTAGGGGCTGGTGCAGGAAAAAAACGCAACCACGCCATCTGATTGGGTGCATCGACGGTAGCGCGAACGCTAGTGGGCGCCACACCACAACTTGCTGCCTGGGGGGGCAACTGCCTCGAAATTATAAGTAGTCGCCCTCCCCTCCTGCCCGCCTCCAGGCCGAATTCGTACCGGAATCTACGACCCCTGCCCTACGTATTGTATCCTCTACGTTCGGCCTTTTTATTTTTCCCTCTCCCGTCTCCACAAAAAAAAGCACCCATCCGACCTCGACACTGACCCAGCGTCACATAATCATCACGACATTCACCCATCGTCACCGTCCGTCTACTCGTACCCCTCCCCCACCCCCACGACTAGACGTCGAACAATCACAAAACAACTCTCCGTCGAAGATCTCTCGCGCTTCTTCACTGAAGCCGCCCGAATCGACCCGACGTCGAGCAACTTGTCGACAAAGTAAACTGAAAAACGTTTCTTTGACTACCAAGGCCTCTCCTTCATTCGCGCGCGCGATACCTTCCTCGACGACGAAATCGGCAAGCACTCGAACCAGAGCCCGCACCCCCATCTCGTCGCCCAAGGTCGCCGCGCTCTGTAGACACATTCCGTGCTTTGCGCCCTGTTCTCTCGAATAGAAGATTTTCGTGCATTAGAAGTGACGTGGTCCGCAAACGTCAAGGTGGTATCTGGAAACCCGAACGCCTTGCGCCGACACTTGCGAATCGACATAACGCCGATTCCTTCTTTACCTCCATCATCTGCCTTGCTGAGCGCACTCGCGACTTGGCATCCGGGATTTTTGAGCCTTCACTGTAGGGGAGACATTCACTTGTTCATCTCCCACTTTTGGTAGGTGCCTTATTTCCTCTTCCTCACGCCGCTGAGTAGCCTCGTTGCCTGGCATCCTGGTCAACGACACACCTGTTGTCTGGAAGAGAGCGCGTTCCTGCCGTCTCGAGCTCCTTCCCGTTGCTGGGTGAATTTCGCGACCTCTATATCAGGTCGCCAAATGCACCCTGCAACCGGCACTTCTGCGCCCGTTACCTCCACACAACGGATTCCAGCACAATCAAATTACAGCCATCGCCGGTATCTACCGCGCATGCCTTTTAAGATGCATTGTGCTAATCAGTTATGCAGATAGCTCTCAGCCACAAAGCATTCACGTCTTTGAGCATCAAGGAAACAGTCGCCATCATGGAGACTTCCAACATTACCACTCATCCCACCACGGTTGAGCAGGCCAAGGCCTTCACTGCGCCTGGCTCTCTGTCCTTCCCCGGCGGCGCCCAGGAGTTTGCTCCCCTGGCTCCCAACGGTCAGGTCAGCAACCAGCAGGTCGCAAACGGCAATGGGGTGACTCCCGCGACCCCCGCTGCGACGCCTGGTGCCTTGGTGGGCGGTAGTGGCCTCACACCCACGCTTCAGTGAGTATCAACTTGATGAAGAGGATCTTGTCTGAACGTGATGCTTACCTCCCGTCAAGGAACATCGTTGCCACGGTCAATCTCGATTGCCGCCTGGACCTCAAGACGATTGCCCTGCACGCGAGGAATGCCGAGTACAACCCCAAGGTACTACTTGCTCCATCAGTGACTTTCTCATCACAAGGATGCTGACATTTGTCCTCTCCAAGCGTTTCGCCGCTGTTATCATGCGTATCCGCGAGCCCAAGACGACCGCGCTGATCTTCGCCTCTGGCAAGATGGTTGTCACTGGTGCCAAGTCCGAGGACGACTCGAAGCTTGCCTCGCGCAAGTACGCTCGAATCATTCAGAAGCTCGGCTTCAACGCCAAGTTTACCGACTTTAAGATTCAGAACATTGTCGGCTCGTGCGACATCAAGTTCCCCATTCGTCTCGAAGGTCTGGCGTCCCGCCATCACAACTTCAGCTCCTACGAGCCTGAGTTGTTCCCTGGTCTCATCTACCGCATGATTAAGCCGAAGATTGTGCTTCTCATCTTCGTCAGCGGTAAGATCGTTCTCACGGGCGCCAAGGTCCGTGAGGAGATTTACCAGGCCTTTGAGATGATCTACCCCGTGCTGCAGGGTACGTTTTCTCATGATGTGTATTCGGACGTCTCACAGTTGCTAACTCGCTGCCCCAGATTTCCGCAAGGTCTAAACATGCGCCTGCACCACTACACAAAATCATGTGCGCGTCGGCTTGACTGCCTGATTGCGTGCATCCCCCCCTTTTTTTGCGATTTGTACCATTACACCCCAATTCTCCTTCACGATACCACGAGAACATTTTTGCCCCCCCCCCATTTCCAAGTCATGATTTGGCTGTCGGACGTTTGGCCACCCTAGTCTGGGGTCGGAACGTGTCGCACCACAACCATGGCCTGTACCAATTGGTTCATTTCCCGCATTGCACTGGCGTTGGAGGGGAAACAAACAAAGGCTGGAGGAGGGTCCAGCCGAGGCGGCTTGCTTCGAGGAAGAAAAGAACGCGCGTAGCAATACCACGATAGTAATTGCAAAAGAAGTAGCGGTCGTTGACCAAAGACACGAGGAACACACGTGAAGTGTTAGGCCTGTTGCACACATTGACTTGACGCATGCTTGCGCTGCATGATTGTTGTGAACTTTCTGCGTTGATTTGATCTAACTGCATGCAGTTCAGATCTCATTCATCACATTGTACTGCACATCCGTGCCACTACATCTTCGCGCGGTGGCTCTTAGCCAGCTCCTCGGCCAGCACGAGCCCCAACTTGCCGCCCCGACTCCCATCCTCTGTGACAATGTGCTCGTACACCTGCTCCACGTCGTCGTCCCTCCTCTCGACGCCCCGCCACCGCCACTTGTCGTCAAACGCCTCAGGCCGGCGGCCCTCGACGCAATCGACAATGTGGTCGCCGATGATGGGCAGGAACTTGAAGCCGTGGCCGCTGCCCGCCGTCGCGAGAAACAGGCCCCGCCAGCCGGGATGGTAGTCGACGAGGAAATCGCCCGTCGGCGTGTCGGTGTACCAGCAGATGCGCGAGGCGGCAAAGGGGCGGTCGTGCAGCTGCGCGAGGGGGACGGTGGCGCGCAGCACGCGGCGCAGGTCGGCCTCGGCCTCGGCGGGGATGCGCAGGGCCGGGTCGTCGACGGCGGTGTAGGGGAGCGAGGTCGTGGGGGCGAGGCGGGCGCCGGGCCGCGTCGGCAGGGCGGCGGCGGGGGGCGGGCGCGGGTTGACGTAGCCGTAGCCGTGGCGCGCGACCTTGAGCTGGCCGCCGGCGGGCGGGATGACGAAGAGGCCGGTCGAGAGGTTCAGCACGATGGGGAGGTGGCGCAGCGCGGCGGCCTCGGCGGGCGCGACGTCGAGGTAGGCGAGCACCTGGCCCGTGGCGACGGCCTGGCCGGCGAGGTCGACGAGGGCGCCGGTCCAGGCGCCCGTCGCGACGATGACGAGGGCCGCGAGCAGCGTGCTCGTGTCGGCGAGGCGCGCCCCCGTGACGCGGTCGCCGGTGCGTAGGAGCGCCGTGGCCGTGCCGTGGACGAAGCGCACGCGGCCCGTCGCCTGCACGCGGGCGAGCAACCACTGCATGCTGCGGCCGGCGTCGGCCCAGCCCGAGTTGCCGTTGAGGTAGCCCCAGTCGCCGGGCGTCGTGTCGGCATCGGTGTCGGCGTTGGCGTCGGCCGGGTTGAGGCCCACGAGCTCGGCAATGGCGCGCCTGCTCGGCAGCTCGCTGAGCCTGGCGGCGTCGATGCCGCACTCCTTCCTCTGGGCGAGGCGCTTGACGTTGGCGTAGCTGTCGCGGACATAGTCCATCTGCGTGCGCGTCTTGACGTGAGCTGGTGGCGCGTCGGCAATGAGAGCCATGCCCGACTCTGTGTAGCGGCCATCTTCGCCGAGGGGGCTGTGGCGCCAGTGGTGATGGGCGGCGGCGGCGAGAGCCGAGTAGGCGGGGTCTGCGTAGTCGGGGCGGATGATGCGCGAAGAGTCGATGCTCGAGGCGTCGTGCGAAGGAAAGACGCCTTGTTCGGGGGAGCGGTCGAGAACGGTGATCTCCGTCTTGGCGTAGGCTGGACGAAGGGCCAAGGCGAGGGCTGTGGACAGGCCAAAGACGCCTGAACCGATGATGAGGATCGACGAAGGGGGTGACGAGGTCGACATGGTGACGTCGGACAGGGGGGGGTCAGAGAGAGGTGTGCCCAGCGAGAGATCTGACGATGCCTTCGAGCGGCAGAGCCACAGACGGAAGAAGAAACCCAGCAGAGTTCGCCATCGTCAATGCCGTTGTCGGACGTCGGTGGTGTGTGTGTGTGTGTGCAGGTGGGGGGTGGGCCTTTGTGTTGGGGATGCGGTTGGGTGCGGGCTTGAGAGAAGGCGGTGGCCACATGACTCGGGTCTTCTGCCGGGCCGGTGCTCACTCGGTCGAGATGCCGAGTCAGACGGCTTCGGTGCCGGGCCTCATCACACGTCACCACCACCTCAGCACATCGTCATGTCCAAACTTCACGGTGATGAGACGCTATGCTTCCTTTTGAGACCAGGTGGAATGATGGGTCGACCCAGACTCAGATCCCAGAAGAGCGCGGCACGGCACCTGCTGGTCAGCAATAGCCACATGCAGTATCATCCGTCAGCAGTGTCAGCAAGGTTCAACATCCTAATCGAACATCCTTTAGGAGCATGCCATTTGGACATTCTGTGTCGAACATGCCACTTCTGTCTGTCAACACTCTCCCGCTTTTGACCCAATCGTGATTTTCCCCGCTTCATTTTCTCTTGCTAAGAATGGCTGCATTTCACCCCTTTCCTCGGCTGCCCGCTGAACTACGTCTTCAGATTTGGCATCTAGCAGCGCAACCACGGCTCCTCGTCATCAAGAAAGCCGGTGCCGGGGCCACAGAGTTCACCTCCCCGACCAAACCACCCCCTCTGACGCAAGCATGTCGCGAGGCGAGAACCTCGGGGCCGTACGAGAAAGCGTTCCCCAGCAGCGACGGCCCGCCTCGCTACGCCTGGGCCAACTTTGACCTCGACACGATCCACGTAGACTGCGCGCACATCTGCAGAGACGACCTGTGCAGCGTCTTTCCCGAGCGCGCCTCGATCCAGTCCCTGCAGGCCGAGGCCATGGGCGACGACTTCAGCTGGATCAGCGACAACTGCCTGCTCTTCTCGCTGCAGGGCTTCGGCGCCTTTCCGCAGCTGCGGCGCTTCGACCTCGTCGTCAACTTTGACCTCGCTTTGTGGACGGGCTTCATCGGCGACACGTACTTTGGGCCCCGCTGTCCGAGGTCCAATGTCAGGGTCATCTGCGCGCCGACGGGCGAGTGGATAGGCGAGACGACGAGTCGCTGGTACGGGGACTGGTACTCGCTACACGTCGCCGACTTTGAGCCGGCGCGGCGGCTTGAGGCGGGCGAGGACGACTACTACCGGTCAGAGGTGTGTCCTTCGCAGTTTATGGTGCCGTGGGCGTATTCGCCATTGTCGGGCGGGTCAGCCACGGAGCAGACAGAAGACGCGGCTTCGCTGATGGCGCTCGAAGAGGCGTCCTGGCTGGAGGAGGCCATGTACGCGGTTGAGATTGATGGTGAAATGGCGTAGACTTGTTGCAGGAGCCCGCATCCTGACCGCGTTGTAAAGCGGCTAGAAATGAAGGCATTTTTTCCCGGTAGAGTTTCTGTACACTTTAGAACACGAGCCTTGAAGCAACTCAATTTAATACCCTTCATGGTACGCAAGAACACTGCGGCCAGCACGGTTGTACCCGTCCTTGACTTTCTAGCCCCGGCGGCGAACCTTCGCGTAGCTGAGAACCCGGATGCAGCCCCGATCCTGGGGGACCTTGGTGCACAAGCAAGAATGGCACGCGATGCAATGAGGTTGATCCTGCTTCACCCCTCATTCTGGTGGATGCAGACATTGGAGGTGCTCCTGACAGCAATGGGACTATACCGAGGCTATAGCTCCCAATACAAATTATAGCTGTACGTACTTGCGAAAGTGTCCATAAGAATGATCTAGTATCGATTCCCTCTTACGGCTACCGTCAAGGGTCCCAGGTATTTAATTCCCTTGAGTTGAAATGGCTCCAAAGCCTCAAGACTTGATAGGGGTACTTTTGGCGTATTGGGGCCTGGCTGGTACACTGGTAGTATCCCAAGATATATGAGGCTACATCTTGGGCCATGGCCGGCCAGAACATGGAGGCTGGTAAGCGTCTCCTCGTAGCGTTTGGACCCTCGTAGCCTGCTTCATCATGTGCACTGTAGAGATGCTCAACAACTCGTCATTCGACGAGGCTCTTCTGCTAACAGCCCCTTTCACGCGTGGTGGTATGAGTGTCTTCGGATCTGGACCGACTGACTGCGCTGGACCTGGCTGGAGGCTGAGGCCTGAATGAATGACCACCGTCCGAAGTGCCCGTCAGGGTTGTGGTTTCTTTTTCTCAGCCTGAAGGATAGAGTGCATTTTAAAGTGCCTAATCATATCCGGCGAAATTTGCATCACCTCAAGCAGATTTATCTGTGCTGGCGTCTTGACTGTGTTCTGAAATACGATGTCGAGTTGGGGTGGGCGTGTAGCACACAGGGTTAGGGATCGTGTATGCACATATGCATGTAGCGGGACCAGCACCTGCCTCGTCACAATCACTCGCCTCCGTCACTGCTTTCCAAACCCACCAGCGACAAGCCGACACGCCTGCCTTCCAGTTGACTACGGACCCCGCCCATCCGACGATATCTCTCCTTACCTTACTTACCTACCTAAGTGCCTGAAATAGGTAGCTCGCACGACCACAAGCACCTTCGACTGCAACAATCACGAACCGTCAGCCCCCAATCGCGAGCGACACACCCCCGCGAAGCTCCCTCGGCGCCATGCGCCCCAGCACCTAAGAACCCCCTCGAAAACAAAGCCATGTCCTCCAAAAAAATCGCCGAGTTCCCCAACGTCGAAGCCAAGCTGCAGAAACCGACAAAGCAATCCGCCTTTGAGAAGCAGCGCGCCGAAGCCGAAGCCAAACGGGCGCGGGAAGCCGCTGAGACGGCTGCCGTGCTCAGGGAGTTCGAAGCGAGCTTTGACGACGACGACAACAACGGCCGTGATGATCATGGCGGCGGCGGCGGCGGAGGGCGCTACGGTGCCTCCTCGCAGCAGGGTGGCCCCGGCCGCGGGCTGACGGGCAGCGGCGGTGGTTTCGGCGGCCCGCCGGCAGCGTCGAGGCGGCATTTCGGCGCGCCGGCGCTGAAGAGCGGGCCGGGGAGTCTGGGGCCTGTGCCGCCGAAGAGCGGACCGGGGAGCCTGGGGTTCGCGCCGAGTTCGTACGGCGGCGGGAAGCAGAGGGGGTTCGACGCGTACAGCCGGCAAGAGAGGGATGGCAGGCTTGGGTTCGACGCGCGCGGCGAGCCGCTGTCGGTGGCCAAGGTGTTTCATCACAGCGACGACGACGACGACGAGGGAGGCCATCACAAGGGCGGCGCAAGGGCCGAGGAGATGGCTGTGGCGCGGCCGACGCTGCGACTGTCGCAGATTCCGCCGGGTACCTCACCAGCGTTCATCAAGTCGCTGATACCGCCGTCGCTGACGGTCGAGGACGTCAAAATGGTACCCACGTCTGGTTCGTCAACCGAGAGGAAATGCACGGTTGCCGTTGTCACACTCTCGCAGGAGACCCCGGCTACAGAAATCGACGCAGCCGTCAGCTTGCTGCAGAACCGGTACTTGGGCTATGGCTTCTACCTGTCCCTCCATCGCCACCTGTCTTCGGCAGTCTCGTCCGTCGCGGCGCCGACCCTAGCCGCCTCATCAACAGGCTCCCAGCCGTTTGGCGCGAAACCCGTCGCGCAGCAAACAGGCCCCGGCAACGGTCCCTCCCAACAGACACATCGCGGCTTTGCCCCGCCGACATCCTACAACCAAATGGCCGGCGCGGCAGTCAACAGGAACAGCATCCTCCACGTCCCCGTAACGCCGCCGCACGACGTCAAGACGCTCCAGCTCATCAACAAGACGCTCGAATCAGTCCTGGAACACGGGCCGGAGTTTGAGGCACTGCTGATGACGCGAGCCGAAGTCCAGCGTGAGGAGAAATGGGCCTGGCTGTGGGACGCCAGGAGCGTGGGTGGCGTGTGGTACCGTTGGCGGCTCTGGGAAATCGTGACGGGCGCCTCGTCGAGCGGCAGCAAAGGGCGCTATCTACCTCTTTTTGACGGTAGCCATGCGTGGAAGGCGCCGGAGAAGAAGTTACCGTTCGAGTACACGACGCACATTGACGAGTTCATCTCGGACTCAGAGTACAACTCGTCCGACGATGAGGACATGGATGGCGAGGCCAACCGCGAGGCAAACGCAGGCGCCGAGGTTGAAAACACTTTTCTGAACCCCCTCGACAAAGCCAAGCTCACTCACCTCCTGTCACGACTACCAACGACGCTATCAAGAATACGCAAGGGGGACATTGCACGCATCACGGCTTTTGCTCTGACACATGCCAGCCGTGGCGCCGATGAGGCTGTCGCCATGATTGCCGCAAACATCAACAAACCATTGGCTCTCACCGCTGCCAACCCGGCTCTGTCAAGAGACGAAAGAGACAAGAGCAAACAGCGCGACGGCTCGGACCAATCCGACGCGGAGCAAGATGGTAAGGTAGACAAGGAGAAGGAGAGTCAGGATACGAGTGGAGCCAGTCTTGTGGGTCTCTACGTGGTGAGCGACATTCTTTCATCGTCCTCAACGAGCGGAATTCGACACGCGTGGCGATTCCGACAGCACTTCGAGGGAGCGCTCAAGGATGCCAGGGTGTTCGAAAAGCTGGGCCTCATGGCCGACAAGCTCCGCTGGGGTCGACTCAAGGCCGACAAGTGGAAACGCAGTGTGGGCATGATTCTCAGCCTTTGGGAGGGCTGGTGTGTCTTCCCTGCCGAGAGCCAGGCGTTCTTCGCGAATACGTTTGAGAACCCGCCGTCGCTTAAGGCCCAGGCTTCTGCGGACGAGGGTCTGAAGAAGGGCAAGTGGAAGGTTGTCGAGGCGTCTACACTGGCCAGCGTCGACACGCTGCCTGAGGCAGTCGTCAAGGCAGATGACGGTGATGTCGAGGGCGAGCCGATGGAAGATGGTGATGTGGCTGGTGAACCAATGGATGACGAAGATGTGGCTGGCGAACCAATGGACGAAGAGGACGTCGACGGCGAACCAATGGACGACGATGTGGAAGGCGAGCCAATGGACGACGACATTGATGGCGAAAGACGAGACACTGCAGCACTCGAGGCGTCTTCCCAGGCAGGCGGGAATGCGCAGGTGATACCCCCAGGTTCTGGGCCAGGGAGGAAGCGAATGAGGGCCGTGGACATGTTCGCGGAATCTGGCGACTCAGACTAGAGGTTTTGCGACGGAAAAAGGATTCTGGGTTGGTTGGTGGTGGGCTGTTAATACTGTTAATCTGCAGCAGCCGCTCGACACGCGTGTGACATGTTCCCGCGTTTGATGCCCCGACGCAATATGATCGAGGCGAGATACCCAGACACCATGAGGGGCCAGCCTTCGATTTTAATTGCCTCTTCTGGACTTTGGCTGAGGCCACCCCCAATGGAGCGGTTCCGGTTACGAAATATGCAGTGGTCAAGGGTCGGCCGCGGTACCTGGGTCCCCAAGACCGACGGCCAACCAGGATGAATAGAGTGAGGTGCATGTCAGTGTTGGGACCCTGGAGGTCAGCATAACGCCACTTCGGGGAGGGAGTGTAAGTTTCTAAGATGCTGCAAATCCGCCACCGTCGATGATGTAGGGCCGCTCGTGGATGGATAGCAAACTGGATATTGGAGCAGCTCAATGGCCGAGGTGCCCGTGTGACGTGACCCATGGCTGTAGACAATCTTGTTAACATCAGTGTCATCTTTCTTCTGGGCTCGAACTGCTGTCGGTACCTTTGGTTTGGGACAACGGCGACAAAAGGTAGGATTGACCGACGTCAGAGGAAGAGGGATGACATGGATGGATGTACAACCCCCTTCGTTGGCGAGCCAGAGTGGATGACGGAGGGGCGGGCGGAGAGACGACATGGCAACCTGCTCACATTCTCTACCACCCGCACCCGCACCCGAACCCACACGCACATACAAGCCATCCATCCCATGCAGTGAAGGCCGTGATGGGCCGAGTTCCGAGCCGGTGCCGTGGTGTATCCAAAGCAGAAGCGAGATGGTCTGCCGCATAGCTAGTGGGAATGGCGTCTACAAGGGACCCTCTTGGGATTCAACCGGCGGTTTGGGATCGCCGTGGACTGGCACGTTGGACGACGACTGTCCTTCCACTAGCAGTGAAAAGAGGTGTTGGCAAAGTCTTTGAGGCAAAGAGCAGGACGAGGACAAGGACCAGGACGGACCTCAGGTGGAGTCGAGGAACGGATGTTGTCAGTGCACCCAATCCCGAAAACTTGCTCACTTCCGTCTGCTGGGCACCCCTCGTCACTGCTGTTCGGACACCTGTTTGCCTGTTTGCGGCAAGGACGCATGGGGGTGGGTGGGGGAGGCTTGCCAGCTTCCTGCCAGCTCCTGCCCACAGTTACTGCCTCTAGGCCTCCGTCGGCCTTCGTTTCAGGGGTCTTCTGGGGGGCCGAACAGGCAGGCAGGGAGGGCCGGATTGGAAGCACCCCTGGGTCCCACCTTCCAACCCCACCCCCCTCCAGCTCCAGGCTCTGGGCCGCACTTGATCGATGCTTTCTCATCCCCGTCTCACCACGACATCCCCCCGTCCCCAGCCGAGTCGAGAACCACCCCCCCTCCAACTGCGAGCGCCGGCGCCTTGGACAGCAACTCCGATTTTTCATCCGTTCCCTGTCCTCGCCTGTGTCAGAGAGGCAAAAAGAGAGAGAGAGAGAGAGAGAGCGAGGGTGCTCGCGCGTGAGAGGAGACATCATTGCACCATGCGTTGACCTCATCACCCGCTGTCCCGTGTCTCTACAGCCTGACGCTATTCCGTCAAAGTCCACGCCTTCGCCCACCTTGGTAGCCTTTTTCGACTACCTGGCACGAAACGAACGCACAACACCAAAGAACAGCGAGCCAGCCAAAAACAGCTCCAGCACCAACATTTCTCTGTCCGACCGCAATCCAAGACCGCGCCGCCCCACGCCATCGGCCGCCGGGACAGATCCAGGAGGCTAGCCTGCTTTCTCCTCGTGATACCTGAGACCCTTACTTACCTCTGCCGACTTTCGCCTTCCCCTCCTCTCACGCCTGCCTACGCCTTTTCGTGCGCACGCTCGCCCGACGAGAACCAGACCATCGTTTTCCCGATCGCCAGCTGCCCGCTTATACTCTCTAACGTACCACACAAGGCTACCAGCCTATGTGAGGAGGACCCTGATCCGCGTCCCTCAGGAGCCGTGCCGCCAAACACCAGGTCGACTTTCTACTTGCTTACCGCGCAAGATACCCGCCCACTACCTGTGCCCCCCCTCCCTCCCCTCACGTGGGGCCGCGCCTTGCTCATCCATGTTCTGCCTCTGCTTCGCCTTGCCTTGCCTTGCCGTTGCTGGAGATTAACCCCCCCTCTCTCATCCATCGGCCGTCCAACGGTGCACCGCGTTTTCTCCGTCCGTTCCCCGTCCCTTCGACAAACTTTCTCGGCATTTCTTACCCTGCGACCTCCTTCCGCAACCCGACGTTGCTCGATACCTTCCCAATCAACACGGAGAGCGCGAAAACCGAGCTTCTGGTTCTCGCCTGCGACAAGAGCTCTGGTACGTGCGTCGGGGCTCAACTTTGCCTATTGTCTGTATCCACGATCACGATCACGACGCCTACTCCGTCAATAGCCCTTCTGCGCCCCCGGTTCACGCCCACTCGCCGCCCTCTGGTCGGCGGCCTCTCGCCTTGATCGACAATCGTCTGGTTTGGTGATTGCAATCCTCCTCTTGACACACATTTCAGAATCAGCCCACCATGCCGCTCATCAACGGTCAGAAGATGGCCTGGTATGTTCACACCTCATTTCATATATCCCTTGTCATCGTTCCTGAGGCCTTCTTTTTCTTGAAGCCTTCTTCCCCCCCGTCGAAACTCCAAAGCGCCCTCTTTTCCTACCTCCAACCACCCCACTGACCTGTCACCCGCCCCCTTGCAGCGAGCCATGTATCCGTGGCCATCGTTCCACCAAATGCACGCACGCAAACGAGCGCCTGATGGTACCTGTGCGGAAACCCGGCAGGCCTCTCAGCACATGCCCGCACCCGCCGAGTCGTGGCTGCGGCTGTGGTAGTGTGACGGCCGCCATCCCGAGGAAGCAGAAGTGTAATTGCGGCCCGTCGACGCCCGCTGACTCCGACGTTATCAAAGTCGAGTCTCCCGTCAGCGAGGCCGTTCCTACATCGCCAGCTCGGTCCTCCACCGTGTCGAGTGCATCGTACCGAGTCCAGAAGCAAAGTAGCAAACCCAACAGCCGAAAACAGTCTTTCGGACCCGCCACACTGGACCGCATCGACAGCAGTCAGTTCAACATTATCCCGACCTTTGACGCAGCTCAGACGATACCACCACACCTAAACGGCGGCATGGATGCCATGGGAATGCCGACGCCCAGGCCTAGCATGGAGTACGGCCAAATGCCCATGATGGGACCTGATGGAATCTTGCAGAGTCATATGGTGTTCCCCATGTATCAAACTCCCATGCCACCCATCATGCTGCCGCCAGACGTCCAAAAGCAGTCCGGAGGGGTGACCATGGCCGCGCCGAAGCCTCCTACTGCCAGCTCGGCAATAGACAGCCCGAAGAATGGCGGAGGCGGCTCCTGTTGCTCAGGAGGCGCCAAGAGCGCCAAAACGACTCCGCCAGCCAGCACCGAATCCAGCCCAAAGGTCGCCCCGAAGCCTACCACGGGCAGCTGCTGCTCGTCGAAGAACAAGAGCCCGCCCCCGACGAAGAATGGGACTCTCAACGGAACGCCGCTACCGCCTATCAACGGAGTGGCCATGCCGCCATTCCAGCCGCCCCCGGCCCTGGCGTCGCAGGTGTTCCAGCAGTACTACCCCCAGCCGACGCTCTTCCACTATCCAGCCAGCTACGGCTCCTACATGACGCCACTCCAGCCCGCTCAGTGGCGGCAGACGATGCAGGCGTTGCAGTACCGACAGGCTCTGCCTGCGAATGGGTCATACGACATGTCGACGCCGATGGTCTACGGTCAGAATGCTTCGCCAGTAAGCGGCATGGGGACATCGCATGAATGCACATGCGGCGACGGCTGCCAGTGTGTCGGCTGCGCAGCTCACCCATACAACAATGCAACGCAGGATTACGTCCGCTCAGCCTGGCAGAGCATGGTAGAGGATTCCTACCATCACTCCAACGGCCATGGGCTGCACGTTGCGAATGGCAACGACGGGGCCAGCGGAGCCAACGGAACCAACGGGCACGCTGACGGGGTCAACGGCGCCTCAGACCTCCCTCCGTCTCGGGATGGCGAGGTGAGCGGATCGCCTACGGCCCCACAGACGCCTTCTGATGCGACGTCTGGCGTGGGGGAGGAGCTCTCCGCCAATGACTTCTTCTTCGTCAACTATCCATTCGGTGGGGATTCCTGCTCGGGAGAGACAGCCTTCTGTCCTTGTGGTGATGACTGCCAGTGCTTGGGTTGTTCGATACACAACAATACGACGGTCCCGGTGCCGGAGGCATAAATGGCGAAGACGATTAAGAAAAACGAGAGGTACATAATGACATTTGCTGGTATGAAATGATGGGCATTTTACATATACTGGCACATGGGGTCGCACGGTCGCGGTTTAACGAATGCTTCATTTTGTCATGAAGGACGATGATCGATACCCTTGAACAGTGGGAACGAGAGGAGAAACAACTAGGTAGCATATAGAGATGTCCATGTGGTGACGGACCGCAAGTGGCACGAAGCCCCACTCAGTGCATATCCCCCACATAACGATGATCCCCAATGCAACCTGGATGAAACCTTCGCCAGCCGTTCATGCACAGACGCAAGACGACGCCTCATCCCAACCACGCTGCGACGCCAGTTCTTTCTCCCACGTCATCGTCTCTTCTTCAAACATCTATGAAACGGAACAGATCTGCATAACGCTTGGGACGAAAGATCCGATCGACCAAGCAGCCAACGCACTGACACTGAGCCAGAAGACAAAGGTTCCAGTGACGGGTGCCATCCAAGCTGGGATCGTCGTGAGACACATGCTCTCACTCACGCGACCAACGACATACCAACAACACTCGACTCAAGCCAGATCTGGCACATCAGCAACTTGACGTTAGCTCGCATCTCGCGCGACTTTAACCTCCCTCCCCTGGAAGCAAGACCAATCATAAGAAAGGGACTAAATATGCCAGGCCATAACAGCGACCAGCACACCAAAGCCCCTCGCCGGGGCGCGTTGAGCTCCCGCTCCCGCTCGCCGCGCGCCTCAGACAATGATCGCCGCTCCCACCACCACCGCCGCCGCTCCCCAGATGCCTCTACCTCGCGCCGCCACGAGACACAGCATCACCACCACAAACACCGCTCGTCCCGCCGCGAACGGCCCGCGCGGCAGCAGCTCCCCTTTGAGGCCCGCCCGCTGCACAAGTCGGACCTGGCCGCCTTCCGCCCGCTGTTCGCCTACTATCTCGACCTGCAAAAGGGGCGCGACATTCAGGCCATGGACGAGCGCGAGGCGCGCGGGCGGTGGAAGTCGTTTGTCGGCAAGTGGAACGACGGTGCGTTGAGCGAAGGTTGGTATGATCCCGACATGTTTGCGTCGGCCGTCGAGCGGGCGCGGGAGATTGGGCTCGATGACGAGCGTGACGATGACAACTATGGCGCGGAGGAGCAGCGGCGTGTTGCTGCTGCCCGTACGACGGCTTCCGAGGATGGCGAGGCCGAAGCGCGGGACCGCGGGACCGACAGCGGCGACGACGAGGACATGGGCCCTGCGCTGCCGCCATCTGCGAGGGCGGGGGCTGCTACTGGCGCGAGGGCGGGGCCGGGGATGCCGAGCCTCGACGATGTGGCGGCGTCGCGCGAGCAGAGGGCCGAGGACGCGGCGCGCGCGCGAAGGGAGGCGGCGGAGGATCTGCGGCACGAGAGAAAGGCGGACCGGCGGGAGCAGCGGGAGAAGCTGGACGAGCTCGTGCCGCGGGCCGAGGCCGGGACGAGGGAACGCAGGCTGGAGAAGAAGTCCATGGTCAACGAGAAGATGAAGGGGTTCCGAGAGGGGTCGCCGGGGGCGGCGGTCGTCGGGGACCGGGAACTCATGGGCGGGGGCGACGGCGTGGAGGAGCTGCGCAGGGAGCGGGAGCGGGAAGAGAGGAAGAAGACGGAGCGGGAGCTGCGGCGGGAGGAGATTGCCCGGGCCAAGGCTGCCGAGAGGGAGGAACGCGTGCGGGAGTGGAAGGAGAGGGAAGAGGGCACTATGAAGGCGTTGAAGGAGCTGGCCAAGGCGAGGTTTGGCTAGTCTTGTCTGCTTTGTGCAGCTTCGGGGGCTACTCTATGCCCGCTCTCATTCCTCAAGGCCGAGATTTTGATATGTTTGTGGGGTTTTCTCTACTTTTGCAGCATTCTCGGGTGTTCAAGCATATCTTTACCACAGAATCCTGTGGTTAGTTAGCTGCGTTCGCTTGATGGTCAGTCTGTGCATGGGTTGGACATGTCGGGGAGATGACAGGCCGTATGGCATGCCCCTTGAACGGTACCCATCGGGGCGCAGGTCACTTTGGGTTCGTGGAATACGTACACCAGCAGTTTCTCGCGCAGCCGGCTGCTGGAATCTTTTCAGACCCATGAATCAGTGATCGATACGGGGTAAATTGACATCCAGGCCTTAGCTCGCCGTGGCTCCTGAGCTCTCTTCTGGTTGTGCACTTTACGTTACGAAACCGAGTTCAGTTCAAGTCCGTATTCATTGATTTGGCTTTGGGAAAACCACACGCACCATTCGTTCGAATCAAGTGAATTGCTTGGGTGGTTTCCCTGTCAGAGCCCTTGATAGTCATCTTCGTCCGGAGCTTTCCATGCTGCTCCTGTCATTAAGATTCCTTGCTACCAGCTCGAGGCCGGGATGAACGTTGCTTTCCAGGATGCATAGCCTGCTCTGAACGTTCAACTCGCCGTGGTTCCGCAAGCAATGGAGCCAGAGTCGGTCCCAAATCGATCCTACTCAACACATTTGGAGGGCTTGCCGTTCATACTGGTCCAGCAAAAGTATTATAACTAGAGGCCAGATTTGTCTGTAGAAGTTTGCATGCGCCAATGGCGCACCGACCTCAGCACGATTCTTCAAACATACCATTCCAATGAATCCATCTGTCTGTCTTGCTGCTGTGGCTGAAAGCTGGTCTCATTCAGCCCTGTTTCCAGCCATCGGGCAAACTAAGTGTCTCCATCACAGTTGATCGATGATTTCAAAGTTTTCCTTGTGAGCAGGTATTCTGTTGATGAGGTTGTTGGCGACTGGTGGGCAATGTCAAAATCTCTTGCCGTCGTTGAACTGCCTCCTGTTCATGCACAGACACCTCACGTGACACATATGCTGTAAATGGACGGCCGCGGCAGGACAAAGATGAGCAGTCATACGACAAACTCCAGTTCATCTAGTATCAGATTGAACTCATAGCTCTATGCGTTGGGAAACTTTGAGCCATTTCTCCCTGGGGGATGTCTGTGTGTAATGTTCCAAGACAGGGTTGAAGGGTGCGTGCAACGAGTCGCATCCCTTTGCAGGGACCCCACTCTTGAACACATCTCAGGGTCCAACTCAATTCTGACTCTGAGATTTTCCCCTCACCCACTCAGAGCCTGGCCGTCATAAAGCTTCGAGCTCTGAAGTCCTGTAAGCAGTCCATGCCTCATTTGAAGGGCAAAGACTTACATTCGGACCAGGATACCCTCACGAAGGACCTCACAGCACACACCAAACTTTGAAAATTTACCCCACCAACGACCCCGCCATCAGGATTTCCTCATCAATATCAACGTCACCTTTTCCACAGGCCCCTGCCACTATGCCTTCCGACAACGAGGGCGACGTGGGCGATATGTTCGCGGAACCAGAAGACTACTACCCACCCACCCCGCCACCAACCTCCGTCTCACACACCCTCGCCTCCGGCCGCACCCTGACGCTTCACCTCGTCGGCTACAGCGCGACGGAGGCCCACCACCTCTGGAACGGCTCTCGCGTCGTCTCCGACTACTTCGAGGCCCTCCCAGCAAGGGTAGCCTCGCGCACCGTCCTCGAGATTGGCGCCGGCGCCGGGCTGCCGTCCCTCACCGCCGGCCTCCTCGGCGCGCGTCGCGTCGTCATGTCTGACTACCACGATGTCGACATAGTACAGACGATGCAGAAGAACATTGACGTCTGCGAGGGCGCCGACGAGGTTGTGGCCAAGGGCTACGTCTGGGGCGCCGATCCGGCGCCGTTGCTCGCCGAGTTGCCTGAGCCCGAGGCCAAGTTCGATGTCCTCATCCTCGCAGACCTGCTGTTCCGGCACTCAGAGCACGAGACGCTGGTGAAGACGATCGATATGACACTGTCCAAGAAAAAGGAGAGCAGGGCATACGTCTTTTTCACTTCCTACAGGCCGTGGCTGCGCCACAAGGACCTCGTGTTCTTCGATGCGGCTAGGGAGAAAGGTTTCCTGGTGGAGCAGGTGATCGACCGCAAGATGGAGAAGAAGCTCTTCGAGAACGACCCCGGCGACGAGGAAGTGCTGAAGACGGTATCGGGGTATGAGTTGAGGTGGCCGGAATCCGAGTGCGAGCTTTGAGAGGTTGATGGACCTAGGATCGGGACTAAACGGCGGCTCAAACCACAACGAAAGCGCAACAGTCGGGCATATGATCACAGTCTGGTAGCGTCAATGACCATGATCCTTGGGGTAGGAGCTGCAGCAGGTGCGGAAATGGCTCATCCAAGGGCAAATGTGAAGTGGATGCTGCCTTTGTTCAGGAGCCTAGAACTGCATTCGCACGAATGACGAGATCACGAGCCGCTCCTGGCATCGATTCATTGGAGCATACGCAGCCACACAGTTCCTTCCTCATCAACTGCATACCATCCCACCACTGAGAAACAGAGTTGAACGCCCAAGCCGGGGGTGGGGGCAGAAGAGAGCTCGGGCAGGAGCTCTGAACGACCTCTGATGGCCAATGGCAACCGTGTGGACCAAGATCATCTGAACTCAAAAGCCTGCAAGCTGCGAGAGGTCTGGGACAAGGCAAGTTGACCGTAGACCGAGGGGAGGGGGGATCATGGAATATTCCAAGGCGGGGGTGGCCTTCGATGCAGGACGCCTAACCATCGACATGGGTGCCGTGCAAGGTGACATGGTGCCACGTCGACGATGTTGTGTCAGTAGGTGGAACTCTACCGAAGGACCTGACTATGGGCAGTGCCTGGTAACCAAATTACACTGCGTACAGACGACCGAGCTGTGTATCTGTCTCCTTCTAACTCTGGCTGTCCATTGTCAACGTTGTGACCACACTCCAGTCGCTGAGAGAATGCCGGACAAGTCCAGGTTTGTCACCCGTCGGGTATGAGGCAGCCTTGAACAGCCGAGATAATGTGTTGTAACCAAGGATACTGCATGTGCGGGCTCGGCTTCGAGCTGCGCTGTGAGGCGTTGATAGTAGAGGGTGAAGGTATCATAGTTGTGCCCGTTTCCCCCACAGGCGTGTCTCGATAAAGAACCCCGGAGTTGTAAATTAACACCCACACAGGCCCATACCACCCGGACAATCAACACACCTCTGGACCCCAAGTGATATGCAGCACCTTAGCGCTCGTCTGCAAAATGTGCCTGAAGTGGTGGTCTGCCGGGGCGGGGGCGGGGGGTGTTCGTCTAATGTGGTTACACAGGAGGTGGTTGAAAGTCAGGCGTACATTCTGTGGCTAGAAGCCGTGCAAGTGTTCCGTGATACCACTGGACGCCGAAGGAGGACCGTCCAAGACTCAGTGCCCATACAGGGCGAAGAAACAAAAATAGTTGTGAGCTGAAGACGTTGTTTGACGAAGGTCGTCGACCAAACGCGAGCCGCTGTTGCCAAGTGGCCATGGCCATGACTGGTCGTCAGGTACCAGCCGCACCACATGAACAAATACCTTTTGTGGAGGTGCCAAGGTTACAGGGTTGTGACCACGGAAGAGCTGTCTCCTGCCCGAGGATAGGCTACCCCACACTTTGGCAGCGGGCGCCTGACGACCAGCAACAACCATTCCAGGGCTGCCTGTGTGTTCACCTCCGCACCTCCATATTTGGCACAAGTGCAAAGGCGGTCAGTGTCTGTCTGTCGAGTGACGTGCGGCAGGATCAGCATCTGAGACAACCGCTAGCTTGGGATTGGCGATGCGATTGTGTCGTGTCTAGTCAAGGGAAGCCGCCGTGCATCGCTGACGCGCTGATTGCCGGCAGATTCTAGAGACGAAGGAAACAGGTGCAAACCATGAGCGGGTAGATAAGCCCACTCGAAGCAACACGTAACATTGCGGACGTCGCCGCCGTGGTGATGCGGCTTTCCGACGCTGTGATGGGGTGGGCAGAGGGACGTTGGATGGATGCGCCGGCCAGAGCCTGGATGGAAATTGATTCTCCTTTGGGCGTCTCCATCAGTTCATTTCCTCCTCATCTCTTCTCGGCCCCTCTCTGCTAGTGTCTGTCGCATTGTGACAGGCGTGCGGGCTATTCCTCCGAAAGTCAAGATGTGCGGCTCCATGTGCCTGTTTGGGGAGGAGAAGGCATGGAGAATCGGATCAGGCCCTGGAAACCCGTTTTGTCGACCGGGTGCCTGCGGGAGGGAAAAAGGAGAAGACGGCGTCAAGAATGAGGAGAGAGAGCACAGCGACAAGCCAATGACCAAAGGTTCGGCCGTCATTGGCGCGTGTGTCCTTGTCCTGTCTCGGCAAGGTTTCCGGGGCTTCTGTGAGGGGTCTGTCCCCAAAAGCCCTTTCCAGCCTGGGTAGGTAGCCGGTGATGACAAACGGATTGGTCTTCGGAGATGCTCGGCTACGATGCTGGGATTTGGTTTGGTTTGGTGTGGTTTGGTTATTGTTTCTGCGCCTTGAGAGGCTTCCTTGTCAGCGCTCCAATGTCTCCACACTTGGTGCAGAGGTGTGCAAGCAAGAAATGGTGTTTTCGTTAGACTGCAGGATCGTGAATCCACCCCAGGAAGACAAGAAGAATAGCGAAGCATGCAGGGGATCCTCGGGCAGGCACATCATCACATGGAGACCCATTAGGTAAGTGGTGTATCTAAGGCCAACCCAAGCTGGGCAGGCGCCGGGAGGTTGGCAGGGGCAGTCGACAAACCTTGGCAGCTTCTCCAATGCGGAGTCAGACCCCACGAGCTGCTGCCCCCAGATTCTCCTTCCCAGCCAGCCCGCCGCCCCCTTGCCCCTTCCCCCTTCCCCTTCGCTCCCCGCCCGCCCCTCTCCGGTCCTAGTCCCTGGCCCCAGCTTTTCCTTCCCCCAAGTCGAGTCGCACTTGCTCTTGCTAGCGGATTGACGTGGACCAGGCTGCACTTGCCCCGAGGTCCCAGTCCAAGAGGTCAGAGACGGAGGTGTGATGAAGTTGGCCCTCTCACCCTCTCCCCACACTTTCTCCCCTCTCTCACCTCCACGGCCATCACGGCGCCCTGATCCATCACACACCACAGGTCCCAGAGAGCCTGAATACCCGTCTCTGAACCAAACACTGGTACCCAACACAGAGCAAAGCACATGCGCCCTCGCCTTCACCACCTCCCCGCTTTGCCTTGGTCTGCAACTCAATTTGTGACACCAATCGCTGCCACCACTGGACTTGAGTTTCCGTCCAGATCGCCCATGGCAGACCTCGGCGTCCCGCGTGCCTGAATCAATTCCCCGCTGTACATCCGTACCTCATTCAACCTCGCCCTGGCTCTCGCTCTCGCCCTCGCACCACCGACGACCTCAGCTTGCTTGTTTTCTTTCACCTCTTTTGCCTCGCACAACCGCCGCTCAACTAGCCTGGGCAGCTCCAACAGCGGCATCGTACGTCATCCAGGAGCACCACCACCACCTCTCACGACTTGATCGTGTGCCGACCAGCTCCGTTTTGACAAGTCGGCGTCACCAACCTACGGTAGCGACGACGCTCTTCTCGCCTTTACCCCCCGCGTCTCGCCCTCCCCCGACGCTTCCAACAACAAACCGTCTCCTCACCAAGTCCCCCATTCCCCCGCCTTTCCCATCCCACACCCTCCCTGCCTGCTCGGACCCTCAGGCCTCTCTGCGACCACCCTCATTTCATCTCACTTCACACATCGCTTCTCACCCACCCAAGGTCGACTCCACGTGTACCTCCACTCCCGCGGGTACATGCGTTTTGTCTTTGCGCCGCCACCCACAGCACACTCGTCCACCCAACTACCGCCGACATCAACCACACTGCAATCATCGCATCCTCGTCTCTTGTCCTACCCCGTCCGCCGTTGGACCTGATCCTCAACCCTCGCTCGCGTCTCCAACTCGTTTACTTGGGACCCCTCCTGCGCCCGCGTCCTCGACCCTACTGACACACTATTCCGCACCCGCAACAACAACCCCAAGGCACCGAACGGCCTGTCACGTTCCGAGCCCAATCAACCAACTTCCTCCGTTGCCAACCCGTACGCATGGCCCCAGGGGACGGCTGAAGCACTTTACTATCGACGACCAGTGAACGAGCCGCTGCTCTTGCAAGACTCGCCCAGACCAGCCGGTCAGGTCGTTGACCAGGGCGAGGCAGGAAACGTCCATAGCCTTGCCGTCGACAACGCCGAGGAAGCTATTTCCATCCCATCGACCAACGACCCCAAAGTCTCCCATCCCCTCGATCTCCTCCGCGCCGCACCCCGCAGCCTGTGCAGTGGTTCCGCTGTTCGCTCCGCGGCCCAATTCACTCCCCTTCCACCGCATCCTCCACCACATCTCCTCGCCTTCCTACCATATCCCCTCTTCTCCTCCCTGGCCCCCCACTTCAGTGTGCACCGTGACCCGAGCTCCCAGCGTCCCAGCCGTCCCTTGTGCCCTGATTTTGCTCCAGGATGATGCCCATTCACCAGTCCATCGAGGGCCAGCCTCCTCACATGGGCCCTGGACTAAGCCCTCCTGCCGCCACTGCCGGCGAGAATGGTGAGCGCCAGCAGAAACCCAAGACCCTGCCCTGCAAGTACTGCAGCAAGCGTTTTAGGTGAGTTGCTCCTGTCCATCCTATTTCCCAAACGTTTCTATGTTTCTGTAGCTGACATGCCATTTTTCATCCAGGCGTGTGGAGCATGTTCAAAGGCACGAGCGCACTCACACCAAGGAGAAACCCTTCTCCTGCGGTTGGGCTCGTTGCGGGAAGACATTCGGACGCCGGTGAGTTATGCTTTTGTAGCCCACCTTTCCATAGATGGCCAATCCTCGCCTCCCTCCTCCTCTCCCCTCACCACTCCTCGTACCTCTGCATTGTCGCGCGCCCACTCGCTCAACCTCCTCCCCCTTCCTCATGTTCTCTCATATCTTGATCTATCTGCGGTGCTCTCGTCTGCCCTTACGTTGTCAATCCCAACCAGCTAGCCCTGTAAGACAAAAGCTTACATGGACATCAGTGATCTCCTGGTCCGTCACGAAAAGCTCGTTCACCTCAATGAAGGAAATAGCGGCCCAAAAGAATACCGGCCGAGGAAATCTTCAGGTGCCGGTGGGCATCAGGCCTCCTCGTCCGAAAGTCACGCCGAAACCGAAGTGCTGAACATTCAGCGCACACCAGTGCAAGCACATCTGCAACCGCAACACCAACAGCATCAGCCGCATCACAATCACCAACAGCTTCAACATCAACATTATCACCAGGATACAATTGTTGCCGCAGCACCGTCTTCTCTCCCTCAAGATGCTCGCATGCAGCAGGCTCGGGCAGCCGCCTGCAATCTCGACATGCTCTCGGACGCTGCTCTGGCCAGTGAAGTCAACCCCATGCAACCTATGATGGCGGACATGGGTCAATCTCAGTCTGCTCACGCACGGATCAAGTCCTACGACGAGCAGATGGGCTATTCTGAGCGAGCGCGCGAGGACCAGCCGGCTTTAGCACCTGGGTTCGCGTCACAAGCTGCCCCTTCCTCATATGACGACTACCACCTGTTTCTCGATGACTTTGCCGGATCTTCCCATTTTCTTCCGCCTGCATTCGAGCCTGACCAGCAAATGGGTGGCATGTGGCCAAGACAAGCTGGTGACATGCACCAGCGCGGCTTGTCAAAGCCGACATCTCAGTTCCCCTCTCGCTTTCCATCAGTTCAGCCAGACGGAATATCAGGCATGGACGGGCAGGCACGAGGTGGCGATGAGCCGATGAGAGCACCTTCTCTGCGAATATCCGCAGTGGACCACAACGTAATCAAGAACCGGTTGGATGAGTTTTCCTCTGTGCTTCCCGCAGATTTCATCTTCCCTTCACGCCACACCCTGACTAGATTTCTCGAAGGCTACATCAGTGGATTCCACGAGTATTTGCCCTTCCTACACTTGCCTTCTCTGGCCCCGGCCGAAATCGCGCCCGAGCTGCTGCTGGCGATATTAGCTGTCGGCGCGCAGTATCGTTTTGAAAGCCATCGAGGCCACGCATTGTGGTATGCCGCAAAGGCTGTTGCGCTCGAACAAATCCGAAGGCGACACAGCCACGAGGTGCATGCCCTCCTGCCTACGCCAGCTGCGTACAGTCCCCATTCGACCAGACCATCGCCAAGCACTGGCTTCCGACACACCTTTGCCTCGGCACAACAGGAAAGGCCCATGACGCAAGATACTCACCGTGAGCCTTTGTAAGTCACACTGACTGGGGCCATCTAGATTCCATCATCGCTGACGGTTGCAGTTCACCCAACACCCCGCAAGCACGGCTCGAAACCATCCAGGCTGTTCTGCTGCTCTTTGCCGTGGGCCTGTGGGGTGCGAGCGCAATCTTGCACGAGGCACTTTCACTGCAAAGCCATCTCGCAATCTTAGTCCGCGAGGAGGGCCTGACGGCGGAGTCGAGTCCAGGCGCAGCTCCTGACTGGGAGACCTGGGTCCGATTAGAGGGCGCTTCGCGCACAAAACTGATCGCCTACTGCTTCTTCAACCTGTGCAGCATAGCGTACAACATGCCGCCACTGCTGTTGACTTCGGACCTCAGTCTTTTCTTGCCCTACCCGTCCCGTCTTTGGAGGGCTGAATCAGCATGGCAGTGGCAAGAAGCCAGGCAGTCATGCCCTTCTGTTGATATCACTGTGCATGATGCGTTTGCAAGGTTGTTTGGAAGATCGCCCCAGAGCCTTCCTGCGCACATCACTTCATTGGGACACTACGTTCTCATCCATGCGCTAACGCAACATGTGTTTTTGCTCAAACAAACTTCATTCGCTCTCAGCTCGCCCTTTGAGCCGCAGAGAGGTCTCAAGCCAGACGATGTCGAAGAGGTACTTCAAGCCTTGCGAGTATGGCAGACCAGCTTCGAACATCGCCATCAACTGCGAGCAGCAGAATCAGCACACATGGGACCGAATGACACCTTCCCTGGCGGTCCAGTGGCATTCAACGCGACAGCTCTTCTGCGACTGGCGTACATACGGCTCTATACCGACATTACCCCGAGCAGGAGTCTTGAGACACGCGACCACATGCTGATTGCATCGTCACTGAGCAACACGCCTCTTCTAGTGCGAAGCCTTCGTCTCCAGAAAGCAGTGTTTCAGGCAATCCACGCACTTTCCATGCTAGTCAAGGCTGGTGTCAATTATGTTGCGAGAACAAAATCGCTGGAATGGAGCATTCAGCATTCCTGTAAGCCAATACTCTGTGCCGAAAGCACCATGTCGCTAACTCGTTTTGTAGTGGGGAACTTTGAGTGCGCCGTCCTGCTCTCGAAATGGCTTTTGACACTCTCGTCGATTGGGCCAAATGACCAGCCAGTGTCCACGGATGAAAAGAACTTTCTTGAAATGATCCGGCGCATGCTCGACGAAACCGAATTCGCCGTGCCGATTGATCCTTCATTGGGCGGCCCTGCGGCCAACCCGCCATCGAACATGGAGGCTTTGGCTGGGGATAGCACAAGACTGAGGCAGCTTGCTGCGGCAGTCATCCGCCTCTGGGCTGAGACATTTAAGGGCACGCACATTTTCGATCTGGTGCGGGTGATGGGGTCTAGTCTGGATGGCTACGCAAGTCTGGTTGAAAAGCCAAACGATCGGGCACCTATGGGACGGATTGCTGCTGAAGCTGGCCTCGGCTGAAAAATGGAATTGTGACATGATGGATGCCGGCGTTCTGGTTTTGGTCGGGGTGGTTTCAGTGGAAGGAAGCAATCATGGGTTCGTCATGGTGCTTGGTGACTTGCTGGGCCGGAGCAATAATAAGGATACCCGAAGTGTCCAGTCTTGCAAGAGCAGTCACAATTTGAATTATGTTGCTTGTTTGTTGGAAGATGGGTATACAGCAGTAACGCGCGACTCGAGCGTTGCTGATCGTAAGCCTGGAACTAATAATTTTAAAACAGTGGTTTACAATGAACAAAAGAGTAGGCATTGGACAATTCCATGACGTACAGCATGGACAGAAAGTGACTGATACATGGCCCAATATCGTTGCAGCGTTATCTGCCCAGTACTTTAAGAGCACGTGACATCGCGTGTGGGCGCAAGTCCAATGGCGCGTTGGATTCGCGTCCAAATGACTATGACGACATCACTTTGTCTGGCTGACTGAACAAGTCAGTCGGTCCCATTGCTGCAGGACGTTTCGCCCGCTTAACGGTTTCACATTGAATATTCTGACGCCCTTTTTGATTGAAAAGACACGGGCTCGACATTGGCCATGCCAGCGCGGAAAAGAGCAGCGGCCTCGCCGCCCGAAGACGAACCTCGTAGACGACCGCGACGGACTACGAGTACGCCCAAGAAGAGCGCGTATTTCGATGACGAGAGCGACGAGAGCGACGAGAGCGCTGATTTCAAGGCAGAAGACTTGTCCGAGGACGAAGAAGACGAAAAAGACGAGGAGATTGAGCATAAGCCGCCGAAGCGCGGGCGCGGACGGCCCCCTACGAAGGCCAAGGCCAAGGCCAAATCGCCCATCGTAAAGCGGAACGGGACAAAACTGAAAAAGGGCAAGAAGAGCAAGGAAGAGGAGGAAGAAGACGTGGACGAATACAAGGAGAAGGAAACTTCAGAGGAAGAAGATGACGAGGATGAGGAGGACGACGACGATGCGGCTCCGCGCGTGACGATTACAAAACTGATCGGCCTGCGGCCTCTAGACGGGGTCGAGTACGCCGACACGAAGCTGCACAAGAACACGCTCGCCTTCCTCCGGGATCTGCGAGCCAACAACACGAGGCCCTGGCTGAAATGTGAGTTCCCCACCCCCCCGAGCCATCCGACCCGTGGCGAACCAGAAAAGAGAAGAGGCAGAGACTGACAGTTTTCGCCCGCAGCCCACGACGGCGAATACCGCCGCGCCCTCGCCGACTTCAACACCTTCATCGAGGCGCTGACGCCGCTCGTCTCCGAGGCCGACGAGACGGTCCCCGAGCTGCCGCTGCGCGACCTCACGTTCCGCATCCACCGCGACATGCGCTTCAGCAAGAACCCGACACCCTACAAGCCCCATTTTGGCGCCGCCTGGTCGCGCACCGGGCGCAAGGGCCCCTACGCCTGCTACTACCTCCACGTCGAGCCCGGCAGCGCCTTTCTCGGCGGCGGCCTGTGGTGTCCGCCCGCCGAGCAGGTGCGCGCCCTGCGCGAGAGCGTCGATGCGCGCCCGGCGCGGTGGCGTGCCGTCCTCAACGGGCCCGTCTTCAAGCGGATGTATCTCGAGGGCAAGGGCAAGGGCAAGGGGGACGAGGAGGCGGTGGATGCGTTTTGCAAGGGCAATCAGGAGAATGCGCTCAAGACGAAACCAAAGGTATTTTCTTTCCTCTTCCTTTTCCTTTTCTTTTTCTCATTCTTTTTCGTCGCGTTGCGTTCAACTCCCCCTTCCTCGCAACTAGAGCGTGATGCTGATGATGGTGCGTGATCAGGGCTGGGAGGCAGACCATCGTGACATTGGGCTCCTCAAGCTGAGGAGCTACACGGTGGGGGCCAAGATTGAGGACGGGCTCTTCGCGCGGGAGGACGCGCAGGAGAGGCTGAAGGACATGGTCGTGGCGATGGAGCCTTTCGTGAGTACCCGTTGCACACTGCGGTTGTACGTTGTCTTTGCTGACTCGCCAGATTACCTTTCTCAACCGCATAGTCATGCCGGACCCTGGGGATACGAGCGACGAAGAGGATGAGGCTGCGCCAGAGGAGAGCGATGACGACGACGAGAACGAAGGAGAAGGAGAGAGTGAGGGCACTGATTGAGACGACGCACATTTGGAGGCTCTCAAAAGCTATCGCCAGCTTCAAACAATTTCAATCGATTGGATATCACGACCGGAACGGGTAACGTAGTGTTGAACCATGGAGGCGACTACAAGTAAAGCTACGTGGATATGCACACATCAACGCTGCACTGCGGTGGGACACGACGTGTTCAACTCATCATCATGGCTGTCTATATTAAGGCGGCTTTCAAGTCATGCCGCATTACTGTACATTTTCCGCGTCCTCTAGCATCCGCACACGTTCAGCCGGCCAACAGCTGGGTCGTGGTCGCTCACAACATCGGCGAAGCGACGCCACGAGGAGACGTGGATGTGCTCGAGCTTGGCCTTGTCGTTGACCAAAGAAGGGCTGATCAGCATGTGGTCAAGCTGCTGGGCATTGCCGTCAAAGACGTAGCTGTAGCGCTCCGTAGCCGGCAGGCTGTGCTTGCTCAGGCTCGTCAATTTGTGCTTCTCGGTGAGGAGCTTCATAGGCGCGACAAAAGCAAACTCGTTGAAGTCGCCAGAGACGACGATGCGGGCCTTGGGATCCTTGGCATACAGAGTGTCGATGAAGGCGCCGATGCTGCCAGTCTGGAGCAGGCGCTTGTCGACGCCGTTGTTGATAGGAGGGCGGTTATCGCCGTGAAGGGTGGAAGAGCCACCCTTAGAGCCGTTGTGGACGTTGATGGTGAAGAAGGGCTTGGTCTTGGGGCCCTTGATAGCGCGCCAAGAGGCGGCCAGAGGCTTGCGACTGTTGGCCCAGGCAGCGTCGTTAGCTACATCGATGCGACCGGGGTTGAAGGACAGGGCGGGGCCGTCAACGACGACAGTCGAGTCGAGGCTGCCGCCCTGGTTGGGCTTGTAGACCTCGAGGACATCAGGACGGTAGAGGTACTAATCATAACTTATCAGTCACTGCTTCAAAGGTCATCATCACGGGTCGACTCACCGCGGTCTGAATGTTGCCTCCAGGCTGGCCACCATCCTGGTTACGAATGGGGTCAACGTTGAGCCACTCGTAAACAACACCGCTCTTCTCCTCGATGGCGGCAGCGAGCGTAGCAAGAGTGATGTTGGCGCTGACAATCAGGTCGTTGGTGGGGCCGTTGCTGTCCTGAACCTCCTGCAGGAAGATCAGGTCAGGAGTCTTCAGGTAGTCGATAATCTGGTCAGCGACATCGGGGAGGTGCTCGGAGCCTGGCCACAGGTTCTCAACGTTGTACGAGCCGAAGGTGATGCCTCGGCAGTCGCCGCTGCTCTCGAGGGTGGTAGGGCTGGTCTCAGCAGAGGACGCAGACTCAACCTTGACAGCAGTCAGGGGCAGGATGCGGTAGAAGCCGAAGGAATAGGTGACAACGCCGGTGATGTCGGCAAGCTTATCGCCCATCTTCGACTCCGGGTTGCGGGTACCATCGAGGGGCGAGCCGATGAGGACGGTCTCAGGGTTAGCGTCTACGTCCGTGATCAGCCAGATGTCGCACAACGTAAATTCCAAGCTCGAGTCAACTCACCCTTGTCAAGCAGAGAGATACCGCCGTGCTCGTTGCGACCGGTAGCAGTCCAGGTGCCGAGGACCCAGGTGTCGCCGAATTGGTTGGGACGGGTCACGCCGACGGGGGCCTTGACGGTGACGAGCTCGCCGTTGAGAGCCTCCCAGAAGTCCAGGCCGTACTTGGTGGGCTCGAGCACAGGGTTCACAGCAGAAACACGACGGACATCGTTGGGAACGGCAAAGACATCACCGCCGTCGAGGCTCGTGTACTGCTCGGTGGGCGGGCTGGGAGTGTCCTCGCCAATGACATAGGCGACAACGGCGTTGTTGCGCGAGACAATCTCCACGTTGCGGGGCGTGGCAAGCTCGGTCAGGTAGAGATGGGTGTTGGTGGACCTAGGGCGTTGCGTGTCAGTTATGCTTAATCCTAGCGGGGTTTTGCCCGCTCTAAGGGTCAAGCACGCACCTGAACTCCAGAATGGTGCCGTCAAGCTTGATGATGTCGCCAACAGCAAGGTTTGCGCCAACATTGCGGTCAAAGACGTAGACGGCCTCAGAGGTCAGGTCGTCGTCGTCGGGCACGGTGGAGCGGATCCAGACACCGTTGGGGCCCTTGGCGAGGACGAGGCCTTCAACAGCCGTCACATTCTGTCCCTGGAGCGGTGACAAGAACTTGTTGCCGTTGATCTCGGCAATGGTGGTAGCCGCAACGGCACCGGCGAGGGAAAGAAGGGTGGCGGAGACCTTCATCTTGGAGGATCGAGGAGATCGCAAGATGGTGATGCGAAGGTCAATCAACAACGAGACGACGAGGAGGAACCTGCAAGAAGGGACGGTTTCTCGTGAGATCGGCGGCCTGGAGACTCATCTAGGAACAGAGTCCGGGGATGCTACTTGGTATTTGTATCTGCCAGCGCGGCCCGCCTTGCATCAACCCTGACCTAGGTACGACGGACCCTCATGATGGGGCGGACAACTGGGAATGCACACCAGCCAGATGGGAGGGCGGCCATTTCCGAAGGCAACGGTAGCACGGGGACGGGGTTGATAGGCCTGTCTCTGATCGCAGAGAGGACATCGGCGACGGGGATTCGTCAATGGATGTGGTGGTCCAGCACAGGACGGCAGATCCAAGAGATGGAGATGGCCGGCAGGTCCCGACATGGGTAGGGGTGTGTTATCAGCTGCCCTGTTAGAGTGCGCGGTGCCTGGCACGTTTCCTGCGAGCCTTGGGGAGAGAGAGAGAGAAGGGGGCGATCAGGACGGGCAGAGGCTTGAAGAGCGCGTTGCTTTGCCTGCATGTCGAATAGCGCGTCGTTGGGCCGAGCCCCGGCGTGTTCCTCATCGGGAAGGTGAGGGCCTCGAGGGGGGAGGGAGGGGGGTTCGCATGCTGGAGAGGCGAGCACTTGGAGGGTGACTGGGATCTTGATCTTCTCCGCCGTGGAGACTTCCCCAGTGGCCCAAGCCGTTCTTAGGAAACCATGCTTGGAAGGTTATCTCCACCAATTACGAGGGGTCGTAGTCCCTCGGATTCGAGACTGTGGAGGGTAGAGCTGTCGGTTGGCGGCAGGAGAGAGATGAAGATTGCTACTCTCCGTGGCTGGTTGGACGACGATTGATGGAAGTCGAGATGGAAATAAACCATGTTGAAAAGAAACGACTTGGCCTGGAGATGATGGCGCAGAAGAGACAAGACGGCAGCCGGCACATGCCCGCCACTTCCTGGTCCTGCCCCGCCATTTGCTGTGGCTCGGGTGGCCCCCTGTACGCCATCCCCTGTAGCGCAAGTCATGGCCCCCTGGTCCGCTGTGGTTTGGAGGGTAAAAATGGTAAGAGTCCCCTATCGCGCGGGCCAATGAACTCTATCACGTGTAGAGTTATCAGTCGAGGCCCCTCTCCACGCCCTGGCGCGGGCTCTTCCTCTTCTTTGCCTGGGCCCATAGCTGAATGCAAGGAAGACGCTGCCAGCATGTGCCCGACCTCGGACGAAGGCAGCATGCCTCATTCCTTTCCCCTGCACATCCGGCCTCCACCGAAGACCAAAATCATGGCAATGGCTACGGTCTTGTTCGCGCTTCTATCAGCGGAGGAGATGACCTCCCTCATGATTACGTTCTACCGTACTTATCGACCAATGCCCCGCCGAACCGGGTCGGTTTCTGGCCTTATTCCTGATTAGGCTCGGCCCGGGACCATGCTACTACCACAATCTCTCCAATATGGATATCTATCCCTCGGCAGGAGATGATCCTCACAAGCTCACCCAACCCTTGACTCGCTGAATACACCACCTATCGACCGTTGCAGCAGAGAACCCCCAACCGGGGAATGCGACCTGCTCCGACTCGTTACCATCCCGCGATCCTCCCATGCAGCTAGGAGGATCTGCCCTCTCCGTCAGCGTGGTTCTAGGCAATGTGGCACACGACCACGAGCCTGCCATCCTATCTCTTGCATATGTAACCCCTCTGAAGCCGGTTAGGCCGTTTTTCTTAATCCACACTAAGATCTCGAGGCTGCGCAGTAGGACGAGTATACATGGTGTTGCTGGTTGCCTCGATTTTCTGGGACAGCTCTCCTACACTTGACTATGACGCCTTTGAGAGTGATGTGCTGCCGACGATGGATCATGAAGACGATGAAGTTCAAGTATCTGGAAGGGCCCCTCCTTGCCTCTCTGCGTCCCCGTACGACAGAGCTGGATTGGAAGGGACAGCCAGCTATCGTAGGTCTACCATTAGACTGCGGATCTGACCTGCAGAAGACCTCTTCACTGTGCTTCCAACCTCAACTTAATATTTTCTCTCCCCTTCGAGACTAGAACACTCCGCCTGATGTTATGCCCTCCATTTGGCCCGGAGACTTCACCTTGAACACTTGGCTCTACGACCTTCTCACCCGCTGCTAAGCATGGATTTTGTTCCTGCAACACAGCCACGCTGTCTCTACAGGTTGGGCGGGGGTAGATATGGAGGCTCATTGCATGCCCGGACGGGCATGCGGTTTCCTTCACACACGGCCTAGCTGGAGTAATAGATGCGGCAGTCTGGTTCTTTCAGGTCCTAATTTTTGGGCGCTCCTACGGTTGTTATTTGAAGACCGTTCAAAGAAGCGGTACGTACGAGGCAGATAGAAATTGAAGATATGATGCTTCAGTATTGCTCACGGCAAGTGGAAATCGATGTCGTATTCCTGACCTTGGTCGAAGCACACATAACGAACTCAACAGTAGCGTTCTAGATGCACTCAGCACGGCCGGCACTCGACCACAACAGGGACAAAAGCTACGAAAGTAGATTCAATCCCAAAGTAAGCTGTGTATACCGCTGCTGTTGAATTTGATCTAGTCCTAGTCTCACACAGACCTCTTTTCAACATGGACTTGAAGGCAAGTACCTAACTCAAGGTTGATGCTCGCTAACACTTCCAGATAAGGTAGCGTCTTTTACGAGTGCTCAAGCTGGTATGGCGTCATCACAGGCGCAAATGGTGTTTTCTGTCAATGTAAAAATGTACCAGCACATAAGAAGATCACAGCCAGCATACATCATCGGTGGAGAACAAGTTGATAGGAGACATAGACATTGAGAACTTTAATCATGGCACCCATCATCTACCTGGTCCGCCACGCCGAGGCGGAGCACAACATTTCCAAAGACTTCACAATACGAGACCCGCCCCTCACTACAGTCGGCAAGGCCCAGGCATCGACTCTTGCTGCAACTCTGCCCGAGATAGCCTCCATCGCCGTCGTTATCACGTCTCCTCTGACGCGTACGCTACAAACCACAATCGCCGGCTTTCCGCACCTCGCTCGAGGGGGTGAGGCGGGCGGCGCGCAGCTCATCATCGATCCAGACCTTCAGGAGCGCAGCAACCTTCCCTGCGACACCGGGTCGGAACGTGCAGAGCTGGAAAAGGCGTTCCCGCATCTCGATCTCGGACATTTGGGGGAGGATTGGCTGGTCAAGGAGGGTCTCTATGCTGCTGATGATGGAGCCGTCGCGAAACGAGCGCAACGGTTCCGCGACAGGTTGCACGATATTGTGACGTCCCTGAGTCAAGGAGGAGATCGAGATGGCGGCGAGGGACGCGGTGCGAACATAGTCGTAGTCACGCATGGCGTGTTCATGAAATTCCTCGCTGAAGACCAGTCAATTGATCTGCCCAAGGCTGGATGGAAAGCATTTGGACTGGGCAACAGGGAGGGCGGAGGGGCTGTGCTCGTTGCGCAGGAGTGAAGCCTCTCGTCGAATCGTTGGGACATCACGGCCACATGAATCGGGCCTCAGATACGTCCCTCGAAAGCCTTCAGGGTCTGATCGTCTCAGCTTCTGAATCAGAAGGCCTTTCGGAAAAGAGGTAGCGCTAACAGGCTTTTATCCCTTTGGAAGCGAGAACGACCTCAGGTACAACGGCACGTACTGGGCGCTCCAGATAGTATGATAGAATTCGGCTTCCGGACTAGTTATATGGTGTCGCTTGATCGCACTACTATCTCTTTGAAACCGAATTCGATCTCTGTAAAAGAAATACGTACTAGAAGGACCTCATCAACATAGCAGAAATAAGCTTCACAGTCAATTAAATCGTAAGAATAGCTCATAGTACATTCATAATCAACTACAGTATTACAGGACATCTAATGATATCAGACGTAGGGTATAGAGTAAAGTTATAGGTGGATTATATTTGCATGAAGCAAAACTCCAGGTACTAACGAGGTGGTGGAGAGAGGCCGCGCCAAACCTGCTTACGAAGGCGGTATACGGCTTGTGGGCGCTATTTGTACCGAGACTGGATTCGGTTTCAAAGGGTTACCTTCACTTCTAAGCGTGTGGGGCACACCTTTGAGGCTCCGCGCGCCGATTGATTGTCTGACCCAAAAAGAAAAGAAAAAACCCCAATAAAACATTTCATTCGGCGTCTACCCCTTCTCGCCCCGACGTTGACGCTTCAGCCATCCACATAGTGCCCCTCGCCAAAGTCCATGTTCGTTACGTACAGCATCAAAGTACTGAGGGACATGTAACATCCAAAAAGTCAGATCTTTGTCTTGGATGCGGAGGCGAAGGCTCAGTCGCTGCCTGCCGCAACGGTAGTCTCTCTAGGCCGTGGCCGTTGCCGCCACTCATGACGAAGTCTGCATGACTGGCTGCGGTGCTCGATCTTCTAGACCTTGCAGGTACATCATGTGTCTCCGACAAGCGGGGATTTCGCCTCTCTTCTGCTGGCACTCGAGGGATCCCAGGTGCAGGGTTGGGTTTGTTCAGGATCAGGCCAACCATCTGTTTGTTGAAGACGCCCTGCCACTTGCAAAGAAAGGCGGCAACCTTGTAGGTCCGATCTGGATCTAGGTCTCGAGTTGCTTTATTCTTCACCGCCATCATGTCGGCGTGAATGGGAACGTACAAGGATCCGAGGGCGGCGAGAACAGCGGTGACAATAGAGGACCACTGGCCTTGAAAATAAGAGTCAGACCTGCCCATTATGATGGTAGTCAGAAGAAACAAAGTCGCAAAGAAGAGTGAATACCTGCCTATGCTGGACAATGGCTCAGTCTCGTATAATAGCTGAGCGGAGTGGAAGTTGCGCTCCCCAACAGCAAGCACCCCTAGGCCGGCCCCTCCAAAAAGAACAATGTTGAGGATTGTAACGACTGTCTCTCTGGGGATGCTTTGCATTCGGAGAATGTGTTTGAACGCCCCACCATGCCTCTCCTCAAGGTCTCGGGTCGTTGCGTCTTGTGCAGGTCTGTGGGCCGTGGCTACACCTCCATGCATGAAATCCATTCTGCCCTGACCGCCAAGTTGCCTCTCCTCGTCTTGGGCACCGTCGCGGGAGCTATCTGCGTCTGTTTGGACGCGGAGCGTCTTCTCGCGTAAAATTTTATTCATCATGTACAGCAAGCACACACCAGCATGCACGCAACAGCCTGCCGAGAAGAGGGTTGCCGTGTGAAAATTGAGCGATTCGGGTGCTGGGATAACATAAATATTGTTGGCAGCACCGCGCCGCAGAGCCGAAAATGGCCCATCTGCCGCTGAACAAGTGAGGCCGCAAGTCGTGCTAGGGCCGTGGGGGAATCGAGCAGAACCAACGAGATCGGCACTCGTACTGTCGGTGAGGTGGCAGTCGTGAACCTGAGACCGATAAAATTCAATGGTAAGGCTCAATAAGCCTGTCGATCTGGATCAGCTTCGTGGAGAACGAAGAAATAGCGTATCAAAGAGCAAAGAGAGGATCAGAGAGACTCGTCTCAAAAGCAAGGTAAGGGGGAAAGGAAAAAGAAATTTCACCTGCCAAGTTCAGGCAAACCCAGACAAAGATGGTATTACGACCAGGTGCTGCGAAGTAAGTTCGACTCACTCGCGCAGCCACAGGCGCAGCGAGGATACCAAGAGAGCATAACTGAAATGCCCCGAATATATCCATATCTGTTGCCCCTGGGACGTGGTAGGTAGGGTATTAGCGCTACCAACACATGGCATCCAGCCGAGATTTGACAGTGTAGCTTACCATCGACATGATTTGCCGCAAGAACAATGCCGTGAAGGGAGGCAACGATGGGGAAGAGCAGGGTGGCCGCGAGAAATGTGTTCCTTAGCCACTCTATCTTTCGGGCAATGACGCACGTGACGAGGAGAAGATAGAACCTGGGACGGCATGATAAGAGACTGTAGGTCTATCGCTCCCAAATCTGGTAACTAATAGAGGTCGGACCGGCCCGTGACTTGGATACATATTCTGGAAGGATGAGGGACCTTTGGCGGACGGGCGATCGGGGAATGGTGACATGGCTGGCGCATATGTACTTACAGCAAACGAGCTCCAAATCCATATTGACCTGAGAGCGGCCAGGCACATATGACCTGCAGATGCGAGACAGAAGCAAGGTTAGAGTTCTCATGAAGGCCTGACACAGATGGGCTCGTGTCGTCGTTGTCGAAGCGTGGCACGATCATGGCGTGGAGGGCAGAAAAATGTCAGCATAAAAGGTGGGAAACGGAGTCGCTGATGGATCGAAAGAAGGGTTGCTAGAAGGAAGAACACATAGAGGCCAATACCCAGACCACGTGGAAGAAATAGCGGACGACATTGGGCAGCCTCCATTACCTGTCTACCGCACCATGGTATCGGGTAGCAAGATAGGCAAATTATGGGAGGTAACACAAGGCTGTGAAATATGAGCCGGCGCGGGCGAAGAGGCTGTGCGTCTGACGTTACCAACACCTCATGCACGAGGTGCCTTATGTATCTCACTTGCAGCTACATTGAGCCTGACCTGCCATGCCGTGCGTCACTGGCTGCCCAATAAAAGCAGGGACGCCCATGCCTCGAACTTTCCGGCCTTCCGAACAGCCCATACAGAAAAGGAAAGGTAGACTGGCGGTTCACGTGTCTTCCCCCCTCCCAAAGGCCCCAACGACGGCAGCCGCGGGCGCATAGATTGCGGCAGCAAGAAGACTTTTGCCGGTCATTATCTTAGAAGAACAGCCCCGCGGCTGCCCAGCAAGTGAGGATGGGTAGATTTTCCCCGCCTGCCACTCGTGACGTTCGAGTTTCGATCATCAACCGCCTTTCAAGTCTTTCCACAAGCCCGAATACCATATTGCAGGTTCAAAATGATCGGAGGCTCAGAAAAAGACGCTTTGAGCATCGATACGGAGGGCATCAGAAGCTGGCGTGCAATTGTTACCCTTGTTGTGTTTGTCTTGACGAGTAAGTCTGGCGATGACGAGCTCCACTGGTCGGAGGCAGGAGCCAGACGCGGGGTATCAGGCAGCGTGACTGACATACCGACTCTAGACGTTAATGTCCTGTGCTCATTCCATATCACGTTTAGGGTGCCGGTAGCATGGTATTGTGGTGTAGGTGACCTGTCCGCTTGGCTCAGAATATCAGAGCCAAGAAACAGACGCGAACCTTCCGTCGGTCCCAGCTCTCTGGAACAGGGCAGCCCGACAAGTAACCTGTCGGCCTCAGAGTCGAGGCAAGGTCAGGTGTCGGCAAGCCCTAACGGTGGATCAACTCCGACGACTTCAGCTGGAGGATACCTCGGGTCCTTGCATTACGAGCACGTCAAAGTCAGGTTTCCTATGAATTTCGTCACGGCTCCCATCATCGCGGATCTCTTCCTCCTCGCCATTGGTGCCATTGGCGGGAAGGAGATCCGCCAGGGTATTCTGGGCGCCAACAACATCTCACCTCTCGACATTATGCTCTTCTTCATCACCTTGGCCTACATTGCCATCTCCATAGACGCCTCGGGACTCATTCGTTTTCTCGCCTTCAAGGTCCTCCAATGGGGAGGCAACAACGGCCGCCGTCTCTACCTCTACCTCTACGTGTTTTTCTTTGGGCTCACGACGTTCATTGGAAACGACCCTGTAATACTGAGTGGCACCGCCTTTCTGGCGTACATGACCCGCGTGTCCAAGGATCTGTCCTCTCCTCGCGCTTGGATCTTCTCCCAGTTCGCCGCTGCCAACATTGGGTCTGCCATTCTCGTTTCGAGTAACCCTACCAATCTCGTCCTTGCTGGCGCTTTCGGCATCAAATTTATTCACTACACGGCTAACATGGCTGTGCCGACCGTCATCACGGCCATTGTCCTCTACCCCATCCTGCTGTACTTGGTTTTCACGGAGCCCGGATTGATCCCTAGGCGCATGGCCATGTACCAGCTGCCAAGTCACTTGAGCAACGTGCCGCCTGCAAATCCCAACATCCCAGCCGCCAAGGATCTAACCGTCACCGAGCTGAGCCACTGCACGCCGAGGGAGGCTGGACAGATAGCGAGCGCCCAGGAAGGCGAGTCCTCGAGGGACTTGCTGGCCCTCGAGGAAGTCTTGAACCCATTTCTAGACACCAAGTCGGCAATCGTTGGATCGGTCATCATGGCCACTACTTTGATCACGTTGCTGGCACTGAACGCGGCGAGTACAGGCACCGGGGAACATCCCGTATTCTGGGTCACACTCCCAGCCGCATTTCTCATGTTTTGCTGGGATGTCGGCTGTGGCTGGGAGAGCCGGCATACGACCAGAGAGATTGCCAAATTCGGCGACAAGAAGCGCCTCCAAGCATTGGCTGTACAACAGACGAATCCCGCGCTAACCATCACAACGCCTTCCGAGCCCGTAGGACGACAGGCAACGATGAACCCTTCCGACGAGAAGGAGAGCCAGCCCGCGGTCGCTGATGGGCAGCTTGTGACAAACCCAGAAAGTATCATTTCGACAATCCACGAAGCAACCCAATGCCCCGCCAGAGCGAAAGAACAGGGAGCATGCGATCCTGAAAGAGAAACTCCAGGCAATGCGCCGCATTTCAGTCATGCCGAGCCGTCTCCCGCGTCGCGTGATACTTTCGGAAGTGAAGATTTCAAGGCTGACAACATGGACACAGAGTGCCATAAGCGACCTCAAACACTCGTCGGTTCTTGCAGAGAGTTAGTCGATTGGCTTCGAGCCACATTTCCTGCCACCATGGCCGTCTTCTCGCATCTTCCCTTGGCGCTCATCCCTTTCGCCTTTGCCATGTTTGTGCTCGTGCAAGCGCTGGTGTCGAAGCACTGGGTGGCCACGTTTGCGTACGGATGGAAACACTGGGTCGACAAGACGGGCGTTGTAGGAGGTATCGGCGGCATGGGATTTCTATCTGTCGTTCTGTGTAATGTGAGTGTCTATCGGCGAGAGCGCTTTGTCTCCACACGAACAGGGTAGTGTCGAGGTCTGACATATGCGTTCTTGATAGTTTGCTGGCACCAACATCGGCACTACGATTCTCTTGTCGCGCGTCATCCAGACATGGGAGGAGATACATCGCGTCAGCGGCTCGCAGATCGACAGCCGCACCTTTTGGGCCACGGTGTACAGCATGGCCATTGGAGTCAACTATGGTGCCTTTAGCGCAGCGTTCAGCGCATCGCTGGCCGGGCTGCTGTGGCGCGATATTCTGGCGAGGAAGGAGATTGAGGTCTGTCCATGATTGTAGGTTTGACGGTGCTGATCATACAAGTCTACATCACGCCAGATGGGACGGTGAATTAAATCACTGAAGCTCGGCTGTCTTGGGCGGCTGTGCAGAGGTGAAGTCGCTTGAGGGATTCCAGGTCGAACTCATGTCGTGACACGATTCGTATCAGGGTTCGAACTCACAGGAAGGAGCATCGCCTCCCAAATGGTCTTGGCAAGGGGAAAACTTTCATGGTGCAATCAATAATGCTGAACATATGCTTATGATAGCACAGAAAGTCTAATGCGAAAAATGGCCCTATGGGATTCCGGCGACAAGGGAGCTTGCGCGTGTTCGTGGGCGTCGGGATTCCATGACATGGTGCCATTGTAGTTGCGCGATGATGCCCCACGGGGATCCCCGCGAGATTTGAACCTCCCCAACGTGCCACGCACGGGAAGACGACACGGTTGCTGCTGGCACCGCGCAGTTGTGGTCAGGCGAATGGACAGCGCCTGATTCGACAAGGGAGGTCCCGATTTGCCGATTCATGGAGAAAGGGACGGACCTCGCGCTTCGCGTTTCGCACCGCGGGGCACACGAGGTGTAGGTTCCCTAGAGCGTGAGGGGTCCGAACTGGGTCCCTTGTCTCCAGTCCCCATAAGGCGTGTCTTGGGCTGCATATCTGGAAGATGCGGCGGCAGTTGGGGTCGGCTAAACGTGGGCGCGGACCGGATGGGCGTCAACACACGATCACTCCATACCATACTCTGCGTCGCCTTTCAGGGCCCTCCAGCGGTGTCAGCCCCCTGGATATACGCTTAGCCGGCATGCCCCTCCCGAGTCCCAGGACGATCGAAGCCGCGCCCAGCTTCCCCCCGCGGATTGCCGAGCTACGTTGCCGCTACCGTGACGGGCTGCTGCGACGATGAGAATAGGCCTCGTATGATTCGTGGCCACGGTGGAGGCGCCTCGAACTGTGGCCGCCACGAGTTCGGCAGCGGGGGGGAAACTTTGGGGACGTTGCGAAAGCCTGTTCGGCATCGCGCCCGGCGAAGCTTTGAGCCACCGAATGCGATAAGTAGTCGGTCTCGCCCCTGGTTCTCGGAGGAGGGAAGAGCCATTCTTATTCCATCAAACACCTTTGTATGTCCTTGCCGGCTCTCTCTCTCACTACGCCCTCTCTCCCAGTGTCTCCGAGTCGCATCATTGTCCCGTTTTGAGATACCACCAACTTTACGGCACGCCCACAGACAGACATTCCCACAATGGCAGCCAACGGAACCGCCAACGGCCACACCAACGGTCAGGCCAAGGGCTCGTCCAAGTTCGACCCCAACTTCACACAGCATGTCATTGATCTCATGAGCCCCGAGACGGACCCCCGCCAGCGTGTCATCCTCACCTCTCTGATCCGCCACATGCACGACTTTTGCCGCGAGGTCGAGCTGACGCAGGACGAGTGGCTCACGGGCGTCAACTACATCAACTCGCTGGGCCAGGCCTACAAGAAGAACCGCAACGAGACGTGGCGCGTGTGCGACATTCTGGGCATCGAGTCGTGCGTCTTTCTTTTCCTTCCTGTCTTGTCCTCCGTTTCTTCCCTTTCTGCTTCGTGCTGCTCCCGGACCTCCAGACTAACGAGAGAAAAGGCTCGTCGACGAGATCAACCACACCGTCGAGATCCCCGACGGCAAGGCGCCCACGTCGTCGGCCATCCTCGGGCCCTTTTGGTCGCCGGAAACGCCGTTCCGCGACCTCGGCGCCAGCGTCGTGCAGGACATGCCGTCGGACGGCCAGCTGACGCACTTCCACGGCGTCATCCGCGACGTCGACACGGGCGCCGGCATCCCCAACGCCGTCTTCGACATGTGGCAGGCGTCGACCAACGGCAAATACGACGCGCACGACCCGGAGAACCAGTCGCGGCACAACCTGCGCGGCAAGTTCCGCACCGACGCCGCGGGCCGCTTCGACTTTTACTGCCTCAAGCCGACCGAGTACGCCATCGACACGTCGGGCCCGTCGGCGACGCTGCTGCACATGATGGGCCGCCACCCCTACCGCCCCGCCCACATCCACATCATGGTCACGCACGACGACTTCCTCGGCGTCACGGCCCAGCTGTACCCGCGCGACGACCCCTACCTGTCCACCGACACGGCGTGCGCCGTCAAGGACGACCTGCTGCTCGACTTTACGCCGCTGACGGGCGACAAGAACGGCGCCGTGCTCGACTGCGAGTACAACGTCACGCTGGCGTCGAAGAAGTACAAGCCCGAGATGACCATGCTCATGGGCAACGCCAACCAGGACAACTTTTAGGGAAAGGGGGTTCTGCGTGGTGGGGTGGGATGGGTTGGGAGAAGGCAAAACTGCATGCATTGGATGTAAAAAAAAATGACGAGCCATGTTTTTTTTTTATTAGTTATGCATTTTGGGTTTATTTCCAGTGGTTCAAGTTTTTATTGGTTATGATTAATGGACTTGCACTGTCAAACAATACCTTCAAAAAAGCTGTGGGCGTTCATCCCAATGTGACACTCTGGGGCACGATTCGTGATCGTGAAGATGTACCGAATGGCCAGCTGAACAATACGATCTGCCGCTGAAGCCAGACACCAAACGCCAGCGCCCATCCAGTTACAACGGACCATGGCCAGCTCGTCGTGGTGATCGAAGACGGATCTGCTGGTTCGCATCACATATCACCCGTCACCATCAAAGAGGCAGGCCAAACGACCCCGCATTTCATCCTTGTCCTCAGGAAGCCGCGACGCAGACCGTCATCGCGAGACCTGGGGCAGGAGCATGTGGGGCTACGTCTTTCTCCAACGAGGAAGAACATTCATCCCCCTCTCCTCTTGGCGGCCGACCTGATCCTCCTGAATCATTCCAACCCGCTCCAGCTACCTTACCTACCTTGCCTCAACTACACAAGGTATTTCAGCCTCAGACAGACATCGCGAACAAGGAGCGCAGTGCCCTACCCGCCGTTACGCAGACACTCTGTCGTGCGACGCCGGGTCGAATACGGGAGACAGGCGCTGTCGCACAACACATATGCCTTGATTGAACAGGCCATGCTTCCCACGGCTACCGCGAGTCACATCTGCCGCCGCATTTCCCGATCATCCATCCCAGGTGCCCCACACGTCCCACACGAGGAACACCGAAGGGGCGGGAAAAGGAGGGGGAGGGGCACCAGGGAAGAACCCAAGGGGTCAAAGTAATACCAGGTCGCCCGGGTCCAGACATCTGATAGCATGATGTCAGGTCCATTTCCTCTGATCCCAATCCCGGCTTACACCGACCGACGCCGCCCCTCCGTTTGCCGGTTCCAGCGTCCGAGGTTCGTGTACTTTTTTGCCAGGCCCGTTGTTGTTGTTGTTCGCTTCGACATTTCTCTTTGCCATCCTGTTCACTCTCTCTGTCGTGTCCCTTGGCTGGTTGCTCCGTCATCGGCTGCCTGTCCACTCGGCTTTCCACTCTCTCCTTGTTCCTCTACTGACTGCCAGCACCACGACGCAGCTCATGCAATCCTTGACTTCGTTCCTCGTCCGAAGCAATCACACCTTGGCGTCGGCCAGCCGACTGTCTTCTTCTCTTCTCACAGCGCACCCCAGCCACGCCTGCCGAGCCTTCTCGACGACGCCCAACATGCCCGTCCATCACCTCATGATAGGCACCTGGACCCCTCCGGGTGCCATTTTCACTGTCGCGTTTGACGATGAGAAGCTCACCCTCGAGCTCGTTAAGCGTACCGAGATTCCCCAGGACGAACCCATCTCCTGGATGACCTTTGATGTTTGTTCGCACGTGCTGCCACATGTTCGCACCTCACTGACATGCCTCCCAGCACAAGAAGAAGAACATTTACGGCGCGGCCATGAAGAAGTGGTCATCCTATGCCGTCGAGTCACCAACGTCCATCACCCACACGGCCTCCCACCCCATGACCCATGAGCCCGAAGCCTCCTCCGCCTCGACCAACACGCGCGCCATCTTCCTCCTCGCCGCGCAGAAGCCGCCCTACGCCGTCTACGCGAACCCCTTTTACAACCATGCCGGCCACGGCACCGTCTACGGTGTCGACGAGGCCGGCACCCTGGCCGCCGACCCCGTCCACCACTTCCCCCTCGACCCCCACTCGGGCATCCACGGCTCCGTCTTTGACCCGACAGAGTCCTACCTCTACTCGGCCGACCTCCGCGCCAACAAGATCTGGACCCACGCCAAGGACCCCGTCACGGGCGCCCTGACCTTCGTCGACGGCCAGGCCGCCCCCGACGCCGGCGACCACCCGCGCTGGACCGCCATGCACCCCTCGGGCACCCACCTCTACGCCCTCATGGAGGCCTCGAACAAGATCCGCGTCTACCGCATCAACCCGACCACCCACGTCCCCGAGTACACGGGCGCCCACTACCCCCTCATCCCGCCCGGCATCCCCAACCCCAAGACCATGTACCGCGCCGACGTCTGCGCCCTGACCCAGTCGGGCCGCTACCTCTTCGCCTCGTCGCGCGCCAACGACTTTGGCCTGACCGGCTACATTGCCGCCTTTAAGCTCCGCGACGACGGCGACATCGAGCGCCAAATCTGCCTCAACCCCACCCCGACGAGCGGCGGCCACAGCAACGCCGTCGCGCCGTGCGACTGGTCCGACGAGTGGGTCGCCATCACCGACGACCAGGAGGGCTGGCTCGACATGTACAGGTGGCAGGACGAGTTCCTCGCGCGCGTCGCCCGCCTGCGCATCCCCGAGCCGGGCTTTGGCATGAACGCCATCTGGTACGACTAGTCTCTGCCTGGCCGGATCGCATTCGATGCGGAGGTAGGAGGTAGATCAACGGATAGAACAGATAAAGATGCCATAGAAGAAGAAGAAGAAGAAGAAGAAGAAGAAAAAGGTTGTAAATTGAACATGGAACATGAACTCTGCTATCCCGGCCCCTTCACCCCTTTCCCTAGCTAGGCCTGTGTCCCTATTGCCATGCCTGCACTCGAGGTTGCGCTCCGCCTCTCAGCCCTTTCCTTACCCCCCGACAGCCCTCATTTTGTACATGCCGCCTGCGCCCGAGGCCCAGAACCCTGATCCTACAGCGAAAAAAGACAAGCACATCTAAGGCTTGCCGCCCTTCTTCTTCTTCTTGTTCTTCTTCTTCTTCGGCCCCACCAGCGTGCCCTCGGCGTTGGACGGCGCCGTCGATGGCCCCGCCTCGTCCGCAGCCTCGGCCTCCTCCGACTCCTGCGCCGCTGCCGCGTAGGATATGCTGTCTTCCTGATCGCTCTTCTTGGCCGGTTGCCTGGTGCCCGACGCCGCCGACAGCTTGGACTCGTTGTCCGAGTCGGAGCTCGCCGCCTGGATGACAATCTTGCGCACGCCGCTGCTCGTCTCCACAATGTTCTCGCTGATGCTACCGCTGCGAACAAGCGTCCTGCGGCGCGGCGTGACGCCGCCGCCGCCGCCGTCCTCGTTGGCGCTGGTGATGCTGCCGCGGCTGCTAGCCCGGCCGTTGTCCACGGCGACGGTTAGGTCCGGCTTTGTGGTCGACGTGGGGCTGGTGTTGCTGCTTGTGCCGGCGCCGGCCCCGCGGGGCTCTTCATCCTTGATTGTGGGCATCTGGAGCTCGGGCACGGCCTGCGTCGTCTCCAGGGGGACCAAATCGTCGTATTCCTGGGCGGCGAGGCGCGCCTGGGCACCGCTCATGCCAGCCCCGACATAGCTCTTGCGTACTGCGTGGACGCCACCTTTACCTGTGAGCTTGGGTCGCGCGATGAGCGGCGTGTTCTCGTCCTCAATGACCTCATCGTCCAGAAGACGAGACTCGATCAGGTCGCCGGCCACGGAGGCGGGGCGACTCCTCTGCGCAGGAGGTTGCACAACGACTTGTCCGCCCATCGCCGTCTTCTTAATCTTGACCGTCGTCGATTTGGTATCCCTGGGGTTCGTGTTGCGGTTTGATGGGCCAAGGTGCTTGAGCTGGCGCTTGATCTCCTCGAGATTGGCCTTGACCGGCACCGTCGTGGCCTGCATCCGTCCATCGGGGCCTGCCGAGCTTCGGCGCATCAGGAACGTTGCCGTCTTTCCAGGACTCGTAGACATGTTGGCGACGTCACCTTGACCGCCAAGTGAGCTGATGCGCTTATCATGGGGCTCTTCGTCGTCGCCAACGTCAATGAGCTTGCCGTTTCCGTTCTCGTTCGCGCGGTTGGCCACGTCCTCCATGTCCTTCTTCATAGGTCGGGCTTTGGGGGCCGGGGTCAGACGGCGAATCGCCTTGTGGACATCAATGTACACGTCTGACTCGTCGATGATTTCCCTGTTCAACTGTTAATTGACGCTTTCCAACATGATGAGAAGGTGTACCTACTCTCCGATAAGCTCCTCGATGACGTCCTCAAGAGTGACGACACCAAGCGCGCCGTAGTCCTCACCAGGAGACTCAGAAACCAATACCATGTGAGACTTGCCCTCCTGGAAGAAGTTGACGATATCGAGACAGCTGGTCTCGGGGCGCGTCTCAGGCAGGGTAGCCAGAGGGAAATCCTTGACCTTCCAGGCGTCTTCGGGGTCGTACGTGATGAGAATCTTGACCAGGAGCATGCCCACAAAGTCTCTGGGCTTGCCCGGCGCATGAATGGGGATTCGAGAGTAGCCTTCCGATAGGATTCGGTCCATGGTCTTCTCGTCGAGGACAGTATCCTCGGCCATGGTGAAGACGTCGTCCATAGGCGTCATGACAGTTTCGACAGACTTGTCCTTCAGGTCGAGAACGGCGCTGATGATGGTGACCTCGTCCTGGTTCAGACGCTCGCCAACCTCGCCAAGGGACTTGTGCAACGTGACGAGAGTCTTGAGGCCACTCTTCTTGTAAATGGTACCGTGGTCCTCGCCGAGTGCCCAATCGAGAAGCTTGGCGGTGGGCCAGGCGACCGGGGCCATCAGCCACATCATGACAAGCACGGGCTTGGCCATGATACCGCCAATCTGGAGGCCGTAGCGGACACAGATGGACTGAGGCACCACTTCACCAAAGATGACGATCAGCACAGTACTGCCAACAACAGCTGCCACACCACCGCCGAGACAGCGATCGAGAACAACGGGAAGAGTCTCGTTGACGATAACATTGGACAGGAGGAGCGTGACGAGAACCCAGTGCTTTCCCTTCTTCAACAGGTTATAGACGCGTTTCGCGTTCTTAGACTGAGGTTCGTACGGGTCGCCGGCCATGACCTGAAGGTATATGCTGTCCTGACCCATCAAACTGGCAAGAGTTAGCGACATGGCGCAGGAGATGAAGGATGCTGCTGTACGTACGCGATGGTCAGGCCGGCAAAGGCGCCACCGAGGAGGACAAGCACGAGAGAGACGATGAAGAGGACGGTTCGGGTGCTACCCGTCTCCTCGGGCACGTCGTCATGATGATCTCTGATGCCCAGAGGCGCGCCTGCAACAGAGGAGACACCCAGGGTGAGAGCCTTGGCCAGGCCAATTACGCCCGTGCGGACGATGCCGAATGTGCCAGAGGCATTTCCGGGTCGCGTTGATGACCTCGTGGTCATCATATGAGGGTGCTGTGCGAAGGGCGTTCGTTGATGGCGCTGTGGATGTTGGAGAGGAGGGGATTTTCTCGACCGAGGCGCGGACGGAAATAATACTTGCAGTCGGACGCCCAAGGTTGGGAGGAGGGCAATAGGGTTCGTCTCGAGGTCGTCGCGTTCTCTCAGACGTGAAGGTGGCGTCGAGTCAAAAAGGGCTGTGGCGACACTTTTGAGGGGGTCGGGAAATTGGTTCGTGTCAGTAAGGTGTTACCCGGATACCACGAGCCCGATTCGCGAGAAGCCAGATGCGTAGCTCGGGATACTGAGGAGCAGGTCGACGAAATCGATTGACAGGTGGACAAGGTGGGATGTAGTGACGAAGCCGAAGCTGGCGGCGACGTTTGGATTGAGAGATGGGTTTTCGGTGGGCAGGAAAATGAAGTCAGAGCAAGCAGGAGAGCCTAGAGCTGCACTAGGACGGAGCTACAGGCCGCAACGGGTCGAGAACTGGAGCCCAGACGAGGGGGTCTTTTGATGACGCGCGATTGAACCCCCATAATCATGGAAATACGTACCAGTGATTGGCGTGTTGGAAGAGCTTTGCGGCTGGGGCACGGAGCACAGGCGAACGCCTGGAGGGGACCCCTGCTTGGCAGTGCTTGAGCCTGGTACGGGCCATCTGTGTGAGGCACCTGGAGGCCCCCACCAAGCCCAGAGAGCAGCAGCAGAAAGCAGATCAGACAGACACACCACAGACCATCGGACATTGCCCGAGCCCCAGAGGGAGAGGAGGACCCAAAGGCCAGGCAAGTCAAGTCGATCAATGACCAACACCATGAAATGCAGAGACTCGGCTGAAGAGTCGGTCTCTCATGGGCCTCGCTCATCCTCATTCTCGTCAATTGACCTCAAACGCTTTGCTTCGCTGTCTAACTTCTACTAGTCGACCAGTTGATGGCCTCTGCTCAGGCTCCAAGCTCCTCGGGGTTGCTTGCATCGATGGAGTTCGATCCACCGCCGCCGCTCAGTGACATCACCAAAAAACCCCCCCTTTCCCTACCGCAGCCGGGCGCCCTTCCCTCTGCCTCCACCCGCTTCCGCCTGCACATGCAAAATGCCTGCCTCAGCTGTAGTCGCACGCACAGTGCAAGTGCAAGCAAGCCATCGCATCGTGCTTGCCGTCCTGTTCCACTCCTGCTCCACGTGCCCGTAGCGCGCCCCATTCCCATGCCGCTCATCCTGTTCGTCCTGTTCATGCCGTGATCTCCATCTGCTGACTCAGAGCTTCACGAGACTCACATCCAATATGCCCTCAGTTCCCTTGAGGTCTGTCACAACCTCAGCACTGACTCCATCAACACCAAGGATCATCAATGCCTCGTTCTCCTCGTTTCCGTTCGCGCCTTCGACTCTCTTCCTCTTGGCTCCAGCGTCGACACTTGCTACTTGCATGAAGCGGATGTTCACACCGTAGCGGCCCAAGACCATGCCGACACCTCCAATCTTGCCAGGCTCGTCATAGTTGTGCAGCACCAGCAGCGTGCCTTCGGGCTCGAAAGTCGCGTTGAAGCGATCCAGCCGTGAGATGTAGATACTTTGGCCCGAAACGTAGCCCTCAATCACCTGTTCGCTGCCTGGCCGGTCATCGTATGACCGGAGCGTGACGAGGCTCGAGTAGATGGCGTTCGTCCGGTCGCCGCTGTGCGTCTCGCTAATGACCACACCTCGCTCCTTGGCGATCATGTTGGCATTGACAATGTTGACATCGCGTCCGCCTGCATCACTGATCGAAGAAACGAGCCCTTTGACCAGCGCCGCCAGAAGCGGCCGCGTGTTCGAGATACCAGACAGCTCGCCATGATACACTAACTCAAACTTGCGTCCTCCCACCATGCCGCCTTTGCTGCCGACGAAATGTTGCGTGTAGAGGCCGCCCATCTTTTCGATGAGGCGGACGAATGGCTGCAGCTTCTTGTATTCCTCGGGCAGGATGAGCGGCGCGTTGACAGCTGCCGTTGGCATTCCGCCGCCGAGAATCTCGACCACCTGCGTGCACACGTCCATTGACACATTTTCTTGTGCTTCGACCGTTGATGCGCCGAGATGAGGTGTCGCAACGACCTTAGGGTGACTTGTCAACCGGGCCGCCGTTGAGTCTGCCGCGGGCGGTTCCGAAGTGAAGACGTCGAGGCCGGCACCAGCGATCCAACCTTCGTCGAGCGCCGTCAGCAGCGCGACCTCATTGTAGACTCCGCCACGAGCAACGTTGAGCACGCGGGCCGTCTTCTTCATCCTCTTGAACTCGTCTTCCTTGAGCAGGTCCAGAGTGCTCGCCATGAGTGGCGTGTGAATGGTCAAAAAGTCGACATCTGGAAGGATGGTCTGCAGATCTGGCACGAGCTCGACGTGCGCCTGTCGAGCAATATCCTTGCTGGCGTACGGGTCGACCGCCTTGACCTTCATGCCGAGCCCAATGGCCATACGTGCCACCTTCATGCCGACCTTGCCAAGGCCGATGATGCCCAGCGTCTTGTTGCCCACTTCGACACCCACGAGCTTGCCGCGCTCCCACTTGCCGTCCTTCATCGTCGTGTCTGCACGACCAACATTTCGCGCAGTGGCAAACAGAAGGGCAATCGTATGCTCGGCCGCCGCGAGGATATTGCCGGCTGGCGAGTTGACGACAATGATGCCGTGTTGGGTCGCGGCGTCGACATCAATGTTGTCAACACCAACGCCAGCTCGTGCCACCACCTTGAGTTTCTTGCCTGCCGCCAGCACATCTGCATTGACTTTTGTCTCAGACCGCACGATCAGGGCATGGTAGCCTGGGATCTCGGCAATGAGCTCTTCTGCTGACAGACCGAGCCGGTTGTCTACATCGTACTTGTCTTTGAGCAGCGCGAGGCCGTCGGGTGAGACCTTTTCGGGCACGAGGATGCGGGGCTTGTCGGCGACGAGGGAGGACACGGTCGACGTGAATTGCCCGATCGCTGAGGGAGCCATTTTCGGTATCGGTAGAGTTATGGTATGCACGGTCAAAGTAGATTCAATTGGTATCACGGACAGACACGGTTGACAGGATGGATGCGGGGGACGGGATGGAGCTGATGAGGGAAGTATAACCAAGAGGCAACAAAGCAGGACGCCGCAGGTGCGACCGCCAGAGCTTTTAAGGTCCGTCCATCTTGCGTTTTGTGAGCGCTCAGTCCAGCTCAGCTTAGAGAGCCGCCATCAGCTCATTTCCAACCCATAATACTGGCAGAAAATACTTGCAGCTCGGGCTTCTCTCGACCTTTGGGGGAAATCAGCATGCAGCTGTCCCTCGTCCAAGCTCCCGTCGCGAATGGCCTCCCACGCGTTTCGACTAGGCACACGTCGCAAGCCACTAATGCGATTTACACATCACCACCTGCGGCTCCCAGGGCTGCGTCATTCAGCCTATGGCCTTTCTCTCTTGGACGATCTCACAGTTTACGCTACGCCCTTCTGTCAGCCCGCGCAACCCCCTCACCTGACGTACGATATAAACCTTTTTGTCGCGTTTCCCCCCACGTTTGAGCTAATGCAGCCCGATCTGCCGTCCCCCGCATTTTGACTGGTGGGACCTCGATAGGGTCGGCGGAGCGCGGGGGTGACGGGGTGGTCTCAGGTTCTGGAATGCGCGGGGTTTATTGGGTGGTTATGGTGACTGGGATGTTCTCCGTCAATGGGGGAGCATCCTGGACAGCTTTGTTTCCGTGAAGGGTGAGATGCGTTAGGCAGCTTGTGTGCAGCTGTACTGGATAGGGGCAAGCATTCAGCGACACAGGCGATGGATTGGTTTGTTGTTTATGCGTCTCATCGAGTACGATCCTTCTGCTGTTTCACTCACGTTTAGGAGGTGACCATGCTGCGGTTTCTCGGTTCTCGGCATCACTTGCTGATCCTTGGGACATCATACGCCTCGATCAACAGGCGTCTAAGGGAACTCGCGACAGAAGATGCTCCATTTCTACGTGGATGATGTCGTTGAAGGGCGTCTGGATGCTTGGAGCTGAAGTGAACCTCTACTGTGTCTCCGAGTGTACGCTTGTTCAACGCAAGAGAATCAGAGGGCGCCAATGGGCCTGCCACGATTGCGAGAAGAAACCTGTCATGCCGTGCACGGCAGCTCCGTGGTCATCGCTGTGTCGAATCAAGTGACACGATTTGTGTCGTCGAGAGGACAAGAAGATGGCCGCGAACCCGCAATGGAAGTTCGTCAATCTAGGTCGTTCTGAGAGGCAACGTTCTGAGATGCTGCTTGCTTCTCAAGCTTCTTAAAAAGGCTCCTGTCCTTCGTGGTGTAGTCTTTTCAGCAGATCTCCTGCCCCCACTGTCACGTTCACACATGTAATACCCACTCTGACTTCTACTCTTTACGAACACATTGAATTCAGAATGAAGGTTGCCACTGCTCTCTCACAGATTCTTTGCTTGGGAACAGTGTGGGCCCTGAAAGGCAAATTCAGCTTCTACAATGCGGGGTTGGACATTGGAACCATCCAGGGCAAGTCCAGGTCGTATGTCTACATTGGCGCCAATTCTTTGATCGTAAGTCGACTAAGCATCAACGAGACTCCCCTGGGTTGTGTTGTGTGGCATCTAACCGAGGATGTTGACTAGGATGATGAAGATGGGACGCCTGTGGTGGGGCAGAACGTTTCGTTCACAGGCACGCGGGTGCTCAACACCTGGATTGCCACGGACGTGGACCTTCTCGGCTGAGACGTTGGCTTGCTACGATTATGGTGCTGCTCAGATGTTGCCCTTGATTGGGTAATAGTTTCCAGGGGTGGCCGGTTATGGACCAGGTAGAGACGTACCTTTGGCGCTATAGTCTGGCCATGTTCATCCTGGAATGTTCGTGGTTCTACAGACGGTGACGCTTTTGGTGCTTCTGTATCAGTACTACCCTAGTGCAGATTCTCAATCTCTTGATAACGAGGACAAACAACTTGTGTCCCAAATGCAGACCTTTATCGTTCAGAACGATCCTCAAAGCTCCCTGAGGCGTGCTAAAGATCTTCAGGGACGGATATCAACGTCGAACCGGGAAAATCTCCAGTTCATCACGCCCTACGTAATCTGGCTTGTCTTCCAGTACGCAGACATAGATTAGGCGGAATCAGGACTACTGTGATGACAGCGCAGCGTATTTACAATTGCTACACATGAATAGTTCGGACGGAAACATGCTTCGTGTCATCCGATGCTACCATGGAACCACCAGCACCCGGCAGTGAGCGCACTCTATGATGTTGAATCAGGTAGATGAGGTGAACGAATGAGGTATGTATCTTGGACATTGAGGCCTGTGGGACTTGTCAGTCAATTCCGAACCTACATTCGTGGTCCATCTCTACTCTGGCGAGAGGTTCATGTCTACAGAATGAGTCATAAGTCACATGGTTTGGTGCCAGTGTTGCTCGCGCGATCTGGGAGTTGTATCGTGTACCAGAGGCAGACAAGTTTGTGCCGCTAGACTAACGCATCTAGCCTGTTCTTCCCACGCTTATTGTGCAATATACAAACGCACCCATGTGCCAGGGAGACATTGGCCATGTCACCAAACGTCAAGCCCATTATTCTTCTATCAGCAGGTTCTCGGTCCTTTGGCGTACATATAGCTCCGGTGGACAGCTTTTGCCCCTGCTTCAATACATCCAGCCACACCCTGGTCGACTCATTAAGCCCACCAAAAACCACCATGAAGCTCTCTACTACTCTACTGTGCGCATTCTGCCTCGCAGGCGTGTCCGCTCTGGAAGACGGAAAGCTCATTGATGGCGTATTCACTGCCTACGACGATATCCTTCAGTTGGGCAGCATCACCAGCGTAGATAAGCGCAGTTTTCTGTTCCCCAACCTCAATTCTCTGATTGTAAGTCTACGCGATTGGTTTGCATTATGTTTGCCCACCACTGACACTGGTATTTTACCAGCCTAAGGAAGATCTGCTGCCTCGCGTGGGGAGAAAGGTCAAGTTTCGGTCCGGTTTGCTAAGCGGCTTGATCCCGATTGCTGTTGACGTGGATATCCTCTGACGTACAACCTCCCTTTGCAGGCTTTCAGGCTTGGGGATGAGATTTTCAATCAATAAATCTCAATGCATGTTGAGGGATGATGACTGTACCGATCAGAAGTACTGTGTCAGTTAATACATCTGAAGTTAATGTAGCCCAGTGGAGAAGCAACATTACTGGCTACTCCGTTAAATGCCTCTGGTGACACTCATTCCTCCAGCTGACGTTCTTAGCGGTGGTCTTCCGCAAATACACCTCCTCCATAGATGGCGCGTCGCCAATACAAGGACAACGTGAAGCTTGTTGCGCTTGTCGTGAAGCTTGCCTGCGGTAGAGAGCTAGCATAGACTCCTGATCGTGGAAGACAGAGCACTGACCCCCTACCGGCCGGCCGGTTATTCCCACTTTGGCCATCTCTACGGATGTTATTCACATTAGGCCGCAAAGGCTCCCGTAGTGATTTCTCAGGGACTGAGTATTCGCGGTGCTGCCTGGCTGAGTGCCAGACTTTGCGGAACGTCAAACCTAGAGCTGACGCATTCTTCAACCTATCGGCGGGTGCGGGTTGTCTGTCCACAGGTTCGGCGAATCTTCAAAGCCAGGGAAAGGGCCAAAGGCCTGAGGCATTTGTCAGCTACATTTGTGTTTTACAACAATATCATAAAAACGTCTTGCATACCGAGGAGTCGAGATCCAGCCAGTCCGTTGTCTGCCATCCGTCTAACAAGTCCACGCCCCCAAATCCTGCGTCACCCTCGGACACAAACATCTGTTGACCAGCTTGTTCGTCCGTGTTTAGTTCGCCCACATTAGCCATTGCGGCGATCGTGCCCGTGTTTCTGCTTGGATGTTGCTCGGGCTGCTGAGGATGAGCATCAGTAGCTGGCTGCGCTAGTCTCGGGGCGCGCGCCAGTTGCCGTTGAGCCTCCTGTCGCAGCTCCTCGATGATGACGCTGTACCTGCGGCTCGGGCTGTCTGGTGCGGTTGCCCGGGCCAGGTGATTTTGACAACGCTCTGCTAGCTCGATCAGAGGGCGTAGCCCGTGGTCATCCTCCGGTGCGGCACGGCTCTGTTGTATTTCCCAGACATACACCACGGCTAGAGCACAAAACGTCACATAGGGTGTCCACCATAACGCATGGAAAAGCGTTCCATCTGTGGCCATTGTGTCGACCGTCTCAAGCGCGGTCTTGGCCGCGTTAATGCACTCCGCGACGCTGTCCTCCAGCGGCGTAGGCTGTCCTTCGCCGTTGTTTCCTGGCGTCCCAAGAATGAAGGGTCGATTGACATGCATAATTGCGTGACAGTACGCAAGCTTGAGCGCCGTAGCTTGGCGTCTGAATGATGGGATGAGAGACATGGGGCGCAGCGTGCCAAGGTGATATGGGAGCGACTCGCGCCACTGGTGAAGTTCACGACTGAACTTGTGGGCGGACTCCAGCCGCTCCTGTTTTGATGTCTTCTTGATCGAGTAGACTTCTCTCGAGACGCGGTCTATCAATTGAGCGAGTTTCGCATGGCAGATGAGAGAATCTACTTGGCAGTCCATCTTTGGCTCGTGTGCTGCCCGACCCTGCGGGGTCATGTCCTCGTCGTTGACTTCGTCGGGAAAGTCCTGGTCAATATCGTCGTCGTGGTAGAGCCTCGGACGACCGAAAACAACAGCTAAATACTTGTCAATCGTGTATGCCACCCAGAATGTTCGTTTACGACACTGGGAGGCGATATAGTCGAAACTGGTTGACCTTGGGCCGCTCGTTCCACGTTTTCCGCCGGACCGTCGATGAAGGCCTAGAGCTGAGACGATGGGCAGCGTGCTGCCGAATATGTACCAGGCTTGATTCATACGCGCAGACTGCAGGAGATATAACACTTGTAATAGCCTTGCCTGTACCGAGTCCAAGCTTGGTCGACCGACTTCATTGTCCGTCAGATTTGACGCGGCGCAAAAAAGTGAATCACTTCTCTGTAGGACGACAAATCCACCATCGGCTGCGAGCGAAGCCACATCGTTGATTTGTATTTGGCGCAGAGTGACAATGGCTAAAATGTTCAGTACAACAGCCGCCTTTGCATGCCCAATGCCGTAATACAGCGGCAGATCGGCCTGTCGATTTGCCAGAACAGCAGTGAACCACCTCGTTACATAGCCTTGGTGCAAGCAGCGGTACGTAACAACGCAGACATCGAAGTAGTACTGCAGCATTTCCATAGCAGTCGCATGGTCCGGGATGATGAGTATATCTCCTGCATGAACGGCAAAGGGTTTATCGCCAGCTGATATCATGCTTTGATGGTGCTCTGTGTTGTTGGGCACTTGAGGAGCAATACCCGCCGTGTATTTTTGTGACGAGAGTCTCTTCCATGCCCGGTGAAGAAAGGTCAAGCTTGAAGTTGGATCGAGGTATTGGCCTTCAATTTCAGCACTCTCTAGCTCAGGAGAGGCACGTGAGGTCGATACGTTCCCATCACCATTTCCTTGATTTGTGGTTGACAATCCTAGGCTTAGCAGGTCAGGGTCCATCGTACTGACCCCCTCATGAGATCCATGGAGTGATGAATGTCTTGGGACAGATGTCAGCACGAAGTGTTTCAACGCTTCATTGCCGTATTGTATGCAAGGATGGCAATTTCCAGGCAATCCAGGACAATTGGATCTCGAACACTAGGGATTGCGCGCTAGACGTACGTAGATTCTGAGTTCCTGGATATCAATCTTTCAATGGCTTCTGGCAGTAACCCGGGTTCTCGTGGTGGCACCTCTGGGCGAGGTTGAGGGGTTGGCGGTCTACCACGACGATACGTCGCATCGTATACACAAGAGAGCTTTCGCTTGATGCAGCCGTCGCACGGAAGAGTACCGGAGCACTTGAGCTTCTTCGTCTTACAGAAGTCGCAGGCTCGACTAATCTTCTTTGACTTGCGCCGATTTTCGGGCTCAAGTGAAGGCGCTTCCCCGGGAGAAGTGCCCGACGCTGGCTGGCCTCGTTTCCTAGACGATGATGCGTTCGATATTGCACTTGTTGGCGAATCATTAGATGTCCCGGATGCGCCTCGAACGGACCCGTTTCCAAGATTCCTACGGTTGGTAGCCGAAACGCCTGCCATGTTGGGATGGCAGCCAGGTTCGGGTCCGGATTCTCAGTGTGGCAAAACCCTGGACGGCCCACAATCGGCCCCGACACAAGGGCCGCACCCTGATCGTCGTACCAGATCGTTGATCCAGTGTCGCCCTGTCGTCCGGGGTTTGGATGTTGAACTGGCTGAATCTGGGGAAGGAGGCCGGAAAAACAGACGCAGGGTAACAAAGAAGACGGGGATGGCGGACTTTCAACCGATACGATGAGGTTGATCTAGCACTAAAACACGTGATTAGGCAGGCGAATTCCGGATTAAGAACCATATAGTTTCCGGACATACACGAATCCGACCTGGGTCCACTCCACTGATATGGCACATATTGAATAATGCACATTTACCAATGTTCCCAGAACTGCCATCTTGACGTTGCGCAAGTTTGTTATACTTACCTTCTCCGTTCAACCAATTACTGTTGAATCGGCACAGCCTGCAGGAACACGCCATGTGCTTTGATTACGTCTGGTTTCATCGACACCACGTGATGTGTTTCTGTGTTCCGCGCTGTTCGATCATTCCATCCAAGTATCTGCCTCAGCCCGTGTATCATGACAAAGTGTCAAAGCAGCTGAATTGACTGAGTGGAGAAATATTCCTCAGGCGTAAACTGCAGGACTTTTAGGTAAGGATCTCGAATACATGTGAATTTGAGCCCTCCACAACTCTTATTTACGATTATCTTATCTTGCGCCCAATGGCTGTGAAATTAACTATATACCATGACTCCTAAATAGCTACAAAGCATACTTGAATAGGGGGCTCTTCTCACCCATCTTGTCAAGCTCCTCGTCGCTATAAGTCCGCCGGACTTCGTCCTCGTCTAGCAGCTCCTTCTTTTTGTTAAGACGTCTCAGCGAGAATTCAAGAACAGTTCCTGCAATGATACCAGCAGATGCGAAGCCAAAGGATGTCCCAAACCCAGTAGGATATCGCGGAGCCTCCCTGTCGAGATAAATGTAGCTGCCAATAAGCCCTCCAATATTGCCTACACAAACAAGGAAGCCAATGCTGATGGCGCGCTTCTGAGGGCTTGGACAGTTGGCGACATTCCACGCGTTGACAGCAGGAAGAATGGGATACATCCTGCGCAAAATTAGTTCATGAGCGTCAGTGACGAGGACTGGAGTACTCACCCAGCACAAGCAAGACAAACAGCAAAATAGCATGCGCCAATGTTGTCATTGATATCACCACTTTTCGTGAACAGGATGCTGAATGCTACGATGAGGGACAACTGAGGCGCAACAAGAAAGGGATACCGCCACGAGTACCGATCAGCAAAGACGGAGAAGACATAGGCAGACACTGCGCCAATGGCATACGGTGGAATGGTCATAAGTTGGGCGTCGCTGGAAGTGTAGCCCATATTCTTGATGATCTGGGGCATGGTGAACTTCATGGCGTAGTTGGGGACAGCGTTTGACCAGTTGGCAAAGATCAGAAGCCACATCTTCCAGTCAAAAACGACCGAATAGAAGGCGTGCTTATCAAAGTGCTTGTCGCGGAACTCGTCTGGACGCACGACGCGGCGGGCTGCTTGGCGGAGCTCGAGAAACCGTTTCTCATCGGCGTCGAGCCACTTGGATAGTGCGGGAGAGTCGACCAAAAGGAAAAAGCACATAATTCCGATGACAACAGTGGCAATACCCTCAATGATGAAGATCTGATAATGTCAGAAATTTGGCTCGTTTTTGGGAACGATGAAGCATACCCATCTCCAGCCCTCGAGGCCTGCTACACCATCCATCTTCGCGATGGAAAATGCTAGAAGTCCCGAAAACGCACCGCCAGATGCTGCTGAAGTATACAGTATCGCAATACGGGTTTGTGTCTCGTTTGGGAGGTACCATTTGGAGATGATCAGAATAGCTCCAGGTAAGAATCCGGCCCTGTTTTTGAAAGTCAGCGGCTATCCTACTATCGGATGAGCAGCAAACATGAGGAACAAGACATACTCAAACAGTCCAAGGAAAAATCGTATGGCTATGAGCCCCCCAAAATTTTGAACAACTCCTGTCAAAGTCATGATTACTCCCCAGACAGTGACAATTCCTCCCATGTAGAGCGACGGCCGTTTGAACATGTGGAGGATCATGTTGCTGGGCACCTCGGCCAGAACGAAGGGAATGAAGAAGATAGACACCGCGACATTGTAATCGATGTTGCTCATATTGAGAGTCTTCGGCAAGCCCTCTATTTTGGCATTTCCGATGTTCGTCTTATCAAGATACGCCATAAGGTACAATAGTACTAGCATGGGCACAAGACGTAACTATAGCAAGACGTCAGTTCGAGAGGTAGAGTATATGGTGGTGAGTAGAGGAAGATGCGACTCACGTCCACTTTTCGAACTGCCTTCTTCTTTTGCTCATCGGAAAAGCTGGCGAGGAACTCAACATCTTCAGGGCTCATACCTCCACGATGTTGAAACTCGGTATGCATGACGGTGTCCTTCTCGGGTGGGATATTTTCGGCATCCGAACGAACAGAGAGCTTCCGATCCGCAGTAGTCGCCATGACAACTCTCAAGTGATTTAAAACCTGTTGAATAAAAAGATAATTGTGACGCGGTGCGAGCGTGGCAACTCATGTGTTTTGCCTTGTCGTTATATTGGTGAACAAAGTCAGCTTCGGTTGACGCCGACTGCTTCGACTTTATACAACAACATGCCAACAACCTGCAGCAAGTAAGTCTACCTGAGACCTTGAACAAGGTACTCGCCTGGCATTGATCTGTCTGGAGAACCTGGAGTGGTATGGGGAAAGTTTTCCCCAGAAAATTTAGTCCGGGGTAGCAGAATCTGCCGATCTTCCGGACTTGGGCTCGGAAAACGGTTTCGACCATTCTAGCCGCAACGCTAGGCCTGTTGGTAAGCTAGCGCAATTTGACTTATTATTGATTTGACCGGCTCTCAGTTTCCAATAGTCCGAGTAACACTAGGGTCAGAGTCCGGATTTTCTTCTCGGATTACTTAACTCTGATCGGGCTCGGTCCGGAAACTGGTTTCTGTCACTACAACGTCCAGGGGCTCACCCAATCTGGGGCTCCGGTTGATATCCCATTGAGGTTTCCCGCGTGGGCTTCGAACATGAGTTTCGGAGCCCGGCAGATGGTTCGCGACTTCGGCTTTCGCTCGAGCGCGACAAGACATTTAGTCTTCGCTTCTGAGGTTGAGCCGATGGACGCGATGACGCCGTGAAAGCCATCTATATAAGCAGAAAACGTTCAACTGATGAAACAGATCAAGCCCTCTTCTTCTCACAGCAAAACCACTCTATCATCACTATCTTCCTACTCTACATTCTTCACATTTTTAAGCTTAATACGAAAGCTGTTTCCAATCCATCAGCAGCATATCAATCGCAATGGGCTCTGTTCCTCAAGTCGGCTTTGACGTCCGTGGCCTCACACCGGCCCCCGTCACACCCTTCACCAAGGAAGGCGCAGTAGACTATGAAGCTATTCAACGTCTCGGTTCCTGGTTGGGAAGCATCCCCGGCGTAAAGGGTCTCGTTGTCCTCGGGCACGCCGGTGAGGGGACATTCCTCACCCAAGATGAGCAGCTCGAAGTCATCCGCGCCTTCCACAAGTCTGTCGGAGGTCGTGTTCCAATCATCGCGGGCATCACTGGCGAGGGTACTGAGGTTGCTGCCCTCGAGGCCAAGCGCGCCAAGGAGGCCGGCGCCGCCGCCGGTCTGCTGTATCCG